GGGCACTGGGTATTAATTTTTGTATTCCTTTTTTGCAAATGTTAATGAAATGTATTCAAAAAGAGAGAGAAAAAGGCAACCGACCTGATCGATGGGAAGGAGCAACTTCCCTCCCAGGAAAGGCTTCAGCATTGGGGTGTTTTTAGTTTAGAGAAAATGTGAGTTAAGGGCTGACATTCCTTTTTTACCCCCTGCTGCAATTGTGGGTTGTAGAATGCAAGATGCATTCCACAACCTCGTGAAAGAGAGCGGTCAGCCTTCTTACTATGTTCACACTGCAGGTGGTTTGAGGCAGAGATACCCAAGGCCACTGGCTGAGGTCTTGGTGGAGGTGAGATCTGAACTAGGCTCGCTTTTGTCAACCTGGTGCCCTCCAATGTTTCAGATTCCAACTCCCATCAGCTTCAGCCAGCACAGTTGGGTGTGCGGCTCAAGCGAGACTTTGCCAGCCTAGTTTGGATCCTCCAGTGCCTATTTTGCTGCCCGCGGTTCCCAAGCGTCTTTTCTTCACTTTCCAGATGCTGCAAAACAAAAGCCCAGGAGAGATCCCAAAGAAACGCCACCTCCCACACAGAAGCCGTTTCCTGCTCCCAGTGAACTATAGGCATTAAAAAGTTTATAAGCATTAGTAAAAGTTATATTTGGAAGGGTTTTAACAAGTTTCTGTTTGCGCTCAGGGCATATTTAAACCAGGCTCAGTCTTGTTTTACTGGGAAGGAGGGGCTTAAAAGAGCACGATCCTGGCTACGCTTTTCTACGCAAGGCAAAAGGATACAGGATTGGGCCAGTGTCCTCAAGCAGCAGCAACACTGGGAGTTATGTTGGTGCATCAATGCAGCAGAAAAATATCCAGGGCAGGTTGTGTGTGAATGCAGAATGGAAGAATCTCAGACACAGGGACTGAATGCGCCCCTCCGAGCCTCTCTGCCTGGCCCTCATAACTCTTTCCAGGCAGTGGTACTTCGGGTTACAGACGCTTAAGGTTACAGACTCCGCTAACCCAGAAATAGTACCTCGGGTTAAGAACTTTGCTTCAGAATGAGAACAGAAATTACCCAGAGATGGCGGGGCGGCAGCGGGAGGCCCCATTAGCTAAAGTGGTACGTCAGGTTAAGAACAGTTTCAGGTTAAGAATGGACCTCCAGAAGGAATTAAGTTCTTAATCCGAGGTACCACTGTACACCCATCGCCAGCTGTTTTCTTCCTGGGTGAAATGCATCCTTGAACGTCACTCCTGCCTCTTGTTTGCCTAGATCAGGGTTTTCCAAGCTTGGGTCTCCAGCTGTTTTGGGACTACAGTTCCCATCACCCCTGACCACAGGTCCTGCAAGCTAGGGATGATGGGAGTTGTAGTCCAAAAACAGCCAGAGACCCAAGTTTGGCAAACCTTGGGTGGAAGGGCAGAGGTGGGAGGGTGCAAGGGCAGAAACGGGGCAAGATTTGCATTTGTTCCTCCGCCCACTTGTGTCTCTGGCCCCGCCCACGAGGGGCATGTGGCCACCCAAAAGGTTGCCCAGAATGGAGGGTGTGGCCCTTGGGCTTAAGAAAGCTCCCCCCCCCCCCGCCTTGCCAAAATAACTGAGGGCAGGGCAACTAGACTGGGGCAAATGGGCTGCAGGGAGGCTTTGCGTGGCAAGGTGGGTTGGTGGGTGAAACAGGAAAAGAAGACAGCAGTAATACCTGGGAGAATCCTCTAGAGACCCACAGGGACAAGAGTTGAAATGGATCCCCAAGAGTCATCTAGGCCAACCCTCAAAATGCAGGAATCACAACTAAAGTATCCATGATAAATGGCAATCCAACTTTTAAACCCCCAAGGAAGGAAAGTCGACCACCTTCTGAGTTGGTCTGTTCTACCATTCAGCAGTGACTACATTATCACATGAGCACTGTTCCACAGCAATTGATATTTTGGCTCAGGATTTCAGTGTTTGATCTAGGGAAGGGTTTGTACCAACACCTGACCAATGAGGAGTTTGTCAGCAAATGGCAGAAAACCATGGCTAGAAAAGCCACCTCTATTGGTCTGTCACCCTTCCAATTGTATTACCTGGGTTATGAAGGCACCCTAAAGACGTTAAAGCAAAGATTATGGGATAATGCACACAGTGACTTGCGATCTCGATCACACGCAGTCTGTAGTCCGCTGGCAGTAGGAGTACAATATGGGCATGTCTTTAAGTTAACACCTTACATTAAAAACCTGACAGTACCAAATTATTGAAGGGTTTTCACCAAAGCCAGACTAAACGTCTTTCCTTCTGCAGTGTTGGATGGCAAGTTGAGAGGAGTTCCCTACCAGGACAGACTTTGCTCGTGTGCTCAAGACATCGATTCCATAAAACATATTTTGCTGCACTGTGCGAAATATGAGCAAGCCAGGGCTGAACTGATATTACCCTTGCTGGTACCTTTCCCGGGAAAATCAGAGGCTCACTATGTCAGGTTCCTATTGGAAGACTGGACAAAAGCTAGAATATTAGCAGCGGCAAAGTTTTTATCAGTGGTTGCAAGAACCAATGATCCCTATCTTTTCAACAAAATGCTTGTTTAACCTGGAGGTAGGCTGTATGAATTGTGCATTTCTTTGTAACGATTTGTTGTGTCTCTGGACCGTAATCAAGATTGATTGATTGATTGACATTTTCATTTACATACATTCATTCAAAATAAGATGGGTTTATGAAGCAATTCTATATCTTCCCACCACGCTGACAAAGAATTCTGCTAAACAGTAGTCAATATCCGGAATCACTGTTCAGTGTTGGACATCATATTTGCTGAATACACAAAGCTTCACAGCTTGTCTATCATCGTACAAAGTCTGGTGTTGTTGTTTAGTCGTGTCCGACTCTTCGTGACCCCCTGGACCAGAGCACGCCAGGCACTTCTGTCTTCCACTGCCTCCCGCAGTTTGGTCAAACTCATGCTGGTAGCTTTGAGAACACTGTCCAACCATCTCGTCCTCTGTCGTCCCCTTCTCCTTGTGCCCTCCATCTTCCCCAGCATCAGGGTCTTTTCCAGGGAGTCTTATCTTCTCATGAGGTGGCCAAAGGATTGGAGCCTCAGCTTCACGATCTGTCCTTCCAGTGAGCACTCAGGGCTGATTTCCTTCAGAATGGAGAGGTTTGATCTTCTTGCAGTCCATGGGACTCTCAAGAGTCTCCTCCAGCACCACAGTTCAAAAGCATCAATTCTTCAGCGATTAGCCTTCTTTATGGTCCAGCTTGCACTTCCATACATCACTACTGGGAAAACCATAGCTTTAACTATACACACCTTTGTCGGCAAGATGTGTTTATGAAGCAATTTTCTATCCTCCCACCACGCTGACAAAGAATTCTACAAAACAGTAGTCAATATCCGGAATCACTGTTCAGTGTTGGACATCATATTTGCTGAATACACAAAGCTTCACAGCTTGTCTGTCATTGTACAAAGTCTGGCACCTCGCTTCATTTAAAGATTTCCAGAGACTTTGAGACTAAAGATTTCATTTTGTACTTGTTATGGTCTGAAGGAATTCTATAAAGATTGTCTGTTGCGTATGTACATGGTCGTCGTGTTGCCTAGACATTGCTGATGTTCTAACCGTTGAACAGCTCTGAAAGTTCTTCCTGATGCTTAATCAGAATCTCCTTCCTTGTAACTTTAATCCATCGGTTCGGGTCCTAGCCTCTGGAGCAGGAGAAAACATGCTTGCCCCATCTTCTGTGTGACAGTCCTTAAAATATCAGTCTTCTCTTTTCCAGGCTAAGCATAGCCAACTCCCTTGAGCGTTCCTCATTTCTACTCATCTTCTACTAACGCAGTGGTGGAACCGCAAAGCATTAACTGATGTCGCAACTGCAGCATGTTGCAAAAATATCAACCACAAGGCTGCAATATGAGTGTGCTGTGGCTCCTAACCAGAGCTTGGGGTTTCGTTTTGGTTTTTTTAAAAAATGAATTAACACCAGCACAGCATTCCGCATCTTGAAAGCCTCGGTGTCTATTTTAAAAGTGGGAGAGAGGTTTCTAGTCCTTAGGGCTGTGGATATGGCTTTCAAGGTGGACAGATAACAGAAGGGCTCTCAGGAGGCCATGCAGACGTGGCTGACCCCCCACCATAGCTAGGAAAATCAGAATGAAGAAGGCAAAACGAACTTGAGTACAAGTGCATTTGCACCTCATACCTACGGGACCACCTCTCCCGGTCTGCCCCACGGAGGACCTCAAGGTCCATAAATAGCAACACCCTAGAGGTCCCGGGCCCTAAGGAAGTCAGATTAGCCTCAACCAGAGCCAGGGCCTTTTCAGCACTGGCTCCAGCCTGGTGGAACACTCTGTCTCATGAGACCAGGACCCTGCAGGATCTGATTTCTTTCCGCAGGGCCTGTAAGACAGAGTTGCTCCGCCTGGCCTTTGGCTTGGAATCAACTTGATCCCCTTCCCCTTTCTCTTTCTGCGATAGTGCTCCTATTTGGGGACTTCCCTGACTTTTTTCTGGCCCACGTAGGACCAGTCTGGATAGTTGGCCTTGGTGAAGACCTGACGTTTTCATCCCCCAAAAAGTTTTTGATTTGAGTTTCTACTGAAATGAGGCTGCATTTTAATGTTGTATTTTAATCTTGTTTTTAAGTTGTATTTCAATCAATTGTTTTATATCTCGTGTTAGCTGCCTTGAGCCCGGTCTTGGCTGGGGAGGGCGGGTATAAATAAAATATTTATTATTATTATTATTATTATTATTATTATTATTATTATTATTTCTGCAGGCTAAAGGGCTGTGACATGGAAAATAGGAGCAATTTGTTTTCAGAGATTCTTCAGCTGTGAAGCCTGTACTTCAGGGGGTTGGTCTTGATGACCTTTGGAGACCCTTCCAATTCTATGATTCTAAGGTATAAGCATCCTGAATCGATTTAATGCCTGGGAGAGAAAACACTCCCATAGTGAGTTCTGTATGTGCTAACTCAAGAGTAAAATAAGCTTTGGAGGAAAAAACAGCATTTCACACCTTGACGGTTTTAAGAGGGTGTGATGTTTTAATTAGAATTCCACTGGACGAATAAAGGGAAATGTTCCAATTATTTCCTTGGCCTCGAAAGATGGCGGGAGGAGAATTTAATAAGAGTTTCTACAATAGCAAGAGTCCTTTATTAGGGAGGTCAAGTTTCTCTAAACTGGATGAGTCTACAGGAGGAAATAGGATCGAGAGAAGTTTGTATGTAATAAAAATACCTTTCTTATAAGACAGTTCTAAGTGGAAAAAGTTACAGGTGAGAACACACCCTGGGCAACACTTTATACATGCAGCACAAAGTTCCAAAAGGTTCTAAATGGACCATTTCTCTGTACGGGCCTCTACTGACTTGACCAATCCTTCTCCCAAAATCTTGAAGTCTTCCAAAATGGCCTCCACATTGGGAACTGTCAGGGGCTCAGGGGCAAGGGCGGACATCATTCTTCCTTTCATGCTTAGCACCTGTGACGGAAAGAACAGATATAATAAGTGAGTTCAGACCGTGGCTCAATCCAAACACTGTACCAAAACCGGGTTTAGAACCCAAAATCTGAACCGAGGTTCTGAAAAGGTGGGCAAACCATGGTTTGCGGCTCGTCTGTCAGGTTTCATCGTCCATCCGCTCAGCATTTCTACTTCTGTGCTACAACAGCCTCCAGAGGTGCAGAGAGTGTGGTTTTCCCATTTAGGTCTCGCAACAAACCTTGGTTAGCACAAACCATGGTTTCCAAACCACCACCTTTTCAGTGGTGACACGCAGTACTTGGAATTTCTTCCCCAAACCAACTTGCACAGAGCTGACCTTTACCTTTACAATTCCAGGTTGTAAAGGTAAGGAAAAAATACCTTTTTTTATTTATTTGGCCAAATTAAAATGGTCTGATACTGTTTCTATCTTACTGGTATAGATTCCATGCTTAGCAATAAATAATCTGTTGCTTTAGTGGGAAAACTGTCCTAAAACTTTCCAGTTACTCTGGAAGAGTGAGGAAGAAACCTTTGCTAAGCGATATGGTTTGCTAAACCGTACTCGAGTTTCTCCTTCAACCATGGTTTGGCATGATGCTTGAATTGAGCCCCACTGCCTAGGCCTTGCTAGCCTCTGAAACGGAAAGCCGGTCTGAGCCATTTGAGCAGAATCTGTCTGCCAACAGCACCCCAGCTGATGCACAAAATGCATACGCAACAGCACAAGGGCAGCCAGTGTGGTGCACCTGCCACCATGAGGGCTAGGAACTTAACCGTATTTTTTGCTCTATAAGATGCACTTTTTCCCTCCTAAAAAGTAAGGGGAAATGTGTGTGCGTCTTATGGAGCGAATGCAGGCTGTGCGGCTATCCCAGAAGCCAGAACAGCGAGAAGGAGTGCTGCGCAGCGCTCCCTCTTGCTGTTCTAGCTTCTGGCTTAGCCCCTCTGTCCCTTCCCCCACCTCCCGCAAAAGCCCCCAAGAGCCGCGCGGACGCTGCCCTTCTCCCTCCTCGGGGAAAAGCCTGCAAGCGCCACACACATGCTCCACGTGGCTTGTGAAAGGGAGCGCTGAGCAGAGCCTGGGATGCATACAGACTCTGCTCAGCACTCCCTTTAAAGAATAGTTTTTTCCTTGCATTCCCCCTCTAAAAACTAGGTGCGTCTTATGGAGCAAAAAATACAGTATTTTGCTAATAAAAAAGGATGGTGGTGTTGGGGTGGGGAAAGGATGTTTGATTATTCGACCGGCTCCATCAGATTTCATGCTAGAGGCTCTGTTCTGCAACCAGTTGGGCATGCCAAGCCACGCAAATTCCAACACCCTCTGACTCTTTTATCCCCATCAGCAGTTGCAGTTACAAAGCAGCAGCCATGTAGATTTATTTATCCTTTGGCTGAAAGCCAGCAGTTCCCCACCTTCTCCTCAAGTCATCTTTCCCTCCAGCTACCATACATCTTACACTTCCAAAGTGACTTCTTATGTGAGCTCACTGCCAAGCCCTTCATCAATCAGCTCTGGCCTTTCTCGTTCCTCATCTTCTTTCGCACCTGCTCTCTCTCTCTCTATCTTCAAGCTTGATCCTCATCTATCCCCTTCTTACATCCTTTCTCCCCTCCAACCCAAAAGGTCTCTGCACCTTTCGCCATGTCGCCGGGTGAAAACAGCAGCCCCCTCACTCATCGGCCAAGATTCCCCTTTTCTCTGCAAGCCTCTCCCTGAGCCATCCCTCCCTGTGTCACTTAACATCAGCTCTAAGCATTCTGGGATGCGGATGGCGCTGTGGGTTAAACCACAGAGCCTAGGACTTGCCGATCAGAAGGATGGCGGTTCGAATTCCTGCGACGGGGTGAGCTCCCGTTGCTCGGTCCCTGCTCCTGCCAACCCAGCAGTTCGAAAGCACGTCAAAGTGCAAATTGATAAATAGGTACCGCTCCGGAAGGAAGGTAAATGGCATTTCCGTGCGCTGCTCTGGTTTGCCAGAAGCGGCTTAGTCATGCTGGCCACATGACCCGGAAGCTGTACGCCGGCTCCCTCGGCCAGTAAAGCGAGATGAGCGCCGCAACCCCAGAGTCGCCCACGACTGGACCTAATGGTCAGGGGTCCCTTTACCTTTACCTAAGCATTCTGGCAGGCAGAACGTTCTCTCGCCACCTCTATTTGCTGCCCAGCGCCTTGCACACAGAGGGCCCTGTGCAACTGCGACCCAGAACCCAGGTTACAAAAATACACACGGTCCAAATCCATGATTCAGACTGCCTCACCTTGAAAGGCTGTGGCTCGAAGGCTGAAGGCTTCCAGAGGACTCCCATCACCTCTCCTCCATGCTTGTCGTAGAAAAACATCGCCAGGTCACCGAATGCCTCCTGCAAAGGATAGAAGTTTGGAAGAGACCAGGGTGAAGCTGATGGTTTTGGAAGGACAACATCGATCTAAACCTGCATTGATACAGAGGTGCCAAGCGAACACTTCTGCAAAAATTGCACGGTTAGAACGTATCACGAATGTTTATGTCACCAACGGAACAATAAAAAACCACGATAAGGTGTAGAAAGAGGACTCTGAGAGCAACGAATTTAAAACTCGAACTAAGCATCACCGGTTCCAATTATTCCCAGGGATTCTCAATGCAGATGCGTTGTCCATTCTACCTCGCAGCATTTTAGGTTATGTAATGTTATTCGTTCCTGTGATATGACCAGGTTGGGTTTAACCAAGAAGAAATAAAAAGTTGTTTATGTGATTTATTCCAGATCTTAGGTATGTTGATTATGTCTGGCACTTGCAAGTTAACACCTGGTCTCTGATATGCAGATTGCACAGAAAGTCAAAAAATAAGGCGCTCAAAGGTGATGGTTGTTGTGAGACACAGCGGAGGAATGCGTTCCTGCCCCAGGGGGAGACTGAGCAGCTGAATTTGGCTTCTTTGTCGCATTTTGGCTAGGGAGAAAACTGAGAGGAGGGTCAGACTGACAGGTGGAGATTGGGTGAAGCTTGCCAATACATTCCTATAAGGGGAAATGAATTCACATAAGACTTAAGCTGGGCACGTCTTGCCCCATCAGCCGTTGCAAATAAACAAATGACTCTAAAACTGTTTTGAACTGAGCAAAGCCTCAACATCACCTACCCATATATCTGCCCAACGCCCATCAAGGTCACACAGAGGTCAATCTTTATCTCTGTTAAGACCTACCCTGACATAAGAGATTCACAGAAGACTGGTGTAAATTTACGGAAAGTAAAACTTGCAAGAAGTTTTGTGAGGTGAGTTATTTGAATTATTGCAAAAATGGATAAAGAGGAGGATTGTTAGTTAAGAGAATTAAAGGTAATATGAATTTAAGAAATGCAGAAGAAATAATAAGAATGGTGGATCATCAGAGGTGCTGATGGAAGTCCAAAAAGATTGTATAAGATGTGAAGTTTTGTGGTATGTATGACAATATACTAAAATTAATAAAAATTATTATATATATAAAAAAAGACCTACCCTGACATAAAGCTAAGGCATCATTGCATGGACAAAATAAAGCTGAGCTCCTGTTGAATTTTGTTTTTGTTTTAAGGGGAGAGGAAGAGAGACCAGTAGCTTCTTTCCTAAACAGCTCAGAGCAGTCCCTGATGTCCCAAGGCCACGCAGAGAGCCCCTCTTGTGTCACAATGACTCCTGGAAAATAGCCGGTAAACTGACTCTGCAAACTGCTTGCTTGTTTTGCAATGCAGGCGGGAAACAGATTTCTAGATTAGCTTGCTGCGCATAATGCACCCAAGGGGCTCAGAGACTGTGACAGAGATTTCCCCCAACCCACCCCGGATGTATTGGACTACAGCTCAGCTTTGCAGGCTGGGGCTTGTGGGAATTGTAACTCAAAACATTTGGATGGCGCCAGGTTGGGGAAATCTGCCCTAACCCTCCTTCCATATAAATGAATGGGTAACGTTCACTCACAGAATCCTAGAACTGCAGTTGGAAGGGACACCCCCTCCAAGGAACATCTAGTCCAACCCCCTGCAAAGCAGGGATCTCAACACACGGTCCCCCATCCAATTTGAAACCATACCGGACCCTGCTTAGCTTTGCAAATGCGCTAGCCATTTTATTGCTGCACAAGGACAAGAAGGGGGAACTGAAATTGCATTTTAACCTGTATTTTAATTTTTATTTTTCTCCCCCCCCCCATTATGTTTTTATTGTAATTTTACTGGTGTTAGCCGCCCTGAGCCCGGCTCTGGCTGGGGAGGGTGGGGTATAAATAAAAATTATTATTATTATTATTATTATTATTATTATTATTACGAAGCTCTACCCTCAAAGTATACCACTGCAGTCGTGTCAAAATCTCACTTCCATCAAACCCCTCCTCCGGGTCCAGTTTTTCTTTGCGTTATTAAATCGTTCCCACAGTTGGCAAGGTTCGTTTGATACCAAGAAACCGAGCCTTTAGCACCACCATCCCGGTCCCATGGAACTCCCTGCCACAAGAGATTCCTTCTGTGCTAGCTCTAAAAATGCCTGCTGAAACGGTTTCTGTTCTGCCAGGCCTATGAGGGCAATTAAGAGTACACTTTTCCACAGTGATTAACTGATGCCTGCTATTTAATTTTGTAATGGTTTTATTGTATGGGTTTATGTTTTTATTGCTGTAAATTGTGTGTGTGTGTGTGTGTGTGTAATGCAACATCGGTATACAAATATTTTTATTTGCATGCAGCAAGTTATTAATATATTAACTATATTAAGTCTGCACGGTCATTGGCATGGCCACCAGCTCGGAAGGCTTTAAAAGATGATTAATCACATTTGTGGAGTGGGCTACTGATGGCTGCCAGCCACAATGGCTAGCATCTTAAACCTAGACAGCATCTTAAAAAGCAGAGACATCACCTTGCCAACAAAGACCCGTATAGTTAAAGCTATGGTTTTCCCAGTAGTGATGTATGGAAGTGAGAACTGGACCATAAAGAAGGCTGATCGCTGAAGAATTGATGCTTTTGAATTCTGGTGCTGGAGGAGACTCTTGAGAGTCCCATGGACTGCAAGAAGATCAAGCCATGCCTGCCTGCTGTGGCAGCGAGTTCCGCAGTTTAACAGTTCAAAGATTTCCTCTTCTCTGCCCTGAATTTTCCAATGCGCAGCTTCGTTGGAAGTCCACGGATTCTGGTGTCACAAGGCAGGAAGGAGAACTTAACCCTACTCATTTCTTCCCGTGCCGTGCTGAGCTTTAGAAATCTCTATCTGCAGCAGAAACCTAGGCAGAAACTTATAAACGTAAGCAGCAGAGCTGCTAGCTCTCTCGGCTGGGACGTAGATTGCTTAATGCAGGCCACAAAGTTGCCTCAGAGGTGTTGCCGCTGCAAACTCCAGGAAAATAAGATAAAAAAGGAGGGATTCGCCGTGCAGGCAAGCAGCAGCTGCTTTTGGAGAACCCGGTGACACCCGGGCCGTTCCCAGACCCAGCCAATTCTTCGACAATCGCCTTGCAACAGAGCAAGAGAACCAGTTCTGCCCTGATCTGTGCCTCCGCTGACTCCTGGCAAAAGGGAAGTTTCCCAGGCAGCGCGTAACCCTTCCTTGTTATTATTATTTTTTAAAAGCATCTGGGTTTTGTTGGTTCAGCAGCTTCTGAATCACGCTGCGGTTTTTAACAAGAAGGTTCAGAGTCCTGGCAGGGCACATAGCAATATTCCTCCTGACGTTATTAGCACACACGGCTTCATTCAGCAAGCATCCGTCATGAGAAAAGGCGGGGGGCCCAATTAGCACCCCGTATATTCCTCTGTTAAAGCTATGGTTTAGCCGTATAGTTAAAGCTCTGGTTTTCCCAGTAGTGATGTACGGAAGTGAGAGCTGGACCATAAAGAAGGCTGATCGCCAAAGAATTGATGCTTTTGAATTCTGGTGCTGGAGGAGACTCTTGAGGGTCTCATGGACTGCAAGAAACCGATCCATTCTGAAGGAAATCAGCCCTGAGTGCTCACTGGCAGGACAGATCCTGAAGCTAAGGCTCCAATATTTTGGCCACCTCATGAGAAGAGAGGACTCCCTGGAAGAGACCCTGATGTTGGGAAAGATGGAGGGGCAGTGTTCTCGAAGCTACCAGCATGAGGGAGGCAGTGGAAGACAGGAGTGCCTGGCGTGCTCCGGTCCATGGGGTCATGAAGGGTCGGACACGACTAAACGACTAAACAACAACAAGCCACAATGGCTATTCACTGCTTCTATGGCCAGGACCAGCAATGCTTGAGAATACCAGCTGCTGGAAACCACAAGTGGGGAGAGGGTCTTATGCTCAGATCCTGTGTGTGGGTTTCGCCTGTGCATCTGATTGGCCACTGTGAGAAGATGTTGAACTGGGCGGGCCATTGGCCTGACCCAGCTAGCTCTTATGTTCTTAATTCCCCCTCACCCATTCCCCTTATTCTGGAAATCCCATCCTTAATATGTGCATCTCTTTGCACCTTTGGTTCCTAGACCAAAAGGCTAGCCAATGGCGTCTCCTCTGCTGGCAAAAAGGCATCTATCAAGCGACCGGGAAAGGAGGTCATCTGTTGCAATTCCTCTCTCCCCACCACAGCCCCAGTGCCCTGCCCCAAAAGCCAGGGCAGATTTTGGGAGGCTGGGTGTACGTAGGAGAGAAGGGGGAATCACCAAAATTATTTCCTCCCCCACTGTTCCATTGGCCTGTTCCAGCAGAGAGAAGAAGACCCCCTTATGTGATCGCATTTGTTCTCACCCACCCACACCTCCTGGGACCCGGGTGGCGCTGTGGTCTAAACCACAGAGCCTAGGGCTTGCCGATCAGAAGGTCGGCGGTTTGAATCCCCGCGACGGGGTGAGCTCCCGCTGCTCGGTCCCTGCTCCTGCCAACCTAGCAGTTCGAAAGCACGTCAAAGTGCAAGCAGATAAATAGGTACCGCTCCGGCGGGAAGGTAAACGGCGTTTCCGTGCGCTGCTCTGGTTTGCCAGAAGCGGCTTAGTCATGCTGGCCACATGACCCGGAAGCTGTACGCCAGCTCCCTCGGCCAGTAAAGCAAGATGAGCGCCGCAACCCCAGAGTCAGCCACGACTGGACCTAATGATCAGGGGTCCCTTTACCTGCACCTCCCTGCCATCTAATTTTTATATTGCAACTGCTCTGCGGACGGAGACCCATTCTAAGAACACAGGAACTGCGTGGCTGGCTCTGCAGATTGAGGTCTGCCGAGTTTGGTAGGCAAGCATCCTTTCCCACAAGGCAGCTGTGAAGTTTGGCCCTGCTAGAATGTCAGTCCAACACCACACACACACACACACACACACACACACACACTACTGACAGACAGTGTGGTGTAGCAGTTAAGAGTGTTGGACTAGGATCTGGCTGGACTCCTCACTCAGCCAATAAATCTCAATGATTGACCTCAGGCCGGTCACCATCCCTGAGGCTCCCTCACAGCGCTGTCATTGTGAGGATTAAAGGGGGGAGGTAGAGCAATGTACATGAGCTTGAGCTCGTTGGAGGAAAAGGTTGGATATAAATGCAATCAATCAATCAATCAATCAATCAACAAAGTTCTTCCACTTGCTATGGAAAGCCAACTGTCATGGATGCAGAGACAGGTTGCAACATCAAAACACAGTATTAAAAACAATATTTAAAACAGCTTCCCATCTCAGAAATAAGGGGGGTCCTAAAAACACACAGCTCAATGGTGTAAAAAGTATAAAGATAGAGGTAATCTACACAACAATTTAGAAAGAGTAAAAATTTCGAGGTCTTAGAACAAAGGAAGGAAATCATTATGTGAATACATACGTAACAATTAGAATGATGATATGGTTTTATTTGTAGATGTGTGTTTTTGGGTTTTTTGTCTGTTTTTTTCTTTTTTCTCATGTTCTTTTCTTTTTTTTACTTCTTTGTACTGCTTTATTTTGGATTCAATGTTTGTAATTTTTGTTGTAATTTTGCACTGAAAATAAAAAAAATTAAACAAGCAAACAAAAAACCACACACAGCTCAAGTGTCAAAAGCCATGTTAAATAAGGTGCATTTAGTATTTGCCAGAAGGTGTCTAATGAAGGGGCCAAGCAGCCCAACAAGGAACTGAAGGTGAGAGTCAACTAAATTTTACTGAGAGTGCATCCAATAAAATACATGACCAAGTTAGGTCCATTCGTTTCAACAGGTCTACTCTTGAGTAAAACCTGGCTGAGGGTGCTCAGCAGCAACGGAACTCTACCAACTCTTGTGAAGGAGAAAACTGCGTGGGGAAGGGGACGGAATGGAGTATCCTGCAGGAGGAGATGGCCAGCAGGCACACCAAACAGAATAATAATAATAATAATAATATTTATACCCTGCCCATCTGGCTGGGTTTCCCCAGCCACTCTGGGCAGCTTCCAACAGAATATAGAAGCACTCCAGGCCAGACATAGCTCAGTTGGTAGAGCATGAGACTCTAAATCACAGGGTGGTGGGTTCGAGTTCCGCGCTGGGTGAAAGATGCCTGCATCACAGGAGGGTTGGACCAGATGATCCTCATTGTCCATTTCTAACTCTAGGCTTCTATGATTCCTCTCTTCTGATCATAGCTGTCAACTTACAGATTTGAAAATAAGGGACCAGCAGCCTCGAAAATAAGGGATCAGCAGCCAAAATTTTAGTCAACCAGCAGCCAAACGAAGCCTCAAGCGGTGGTTCCCATAGCGCAGCAACCCAGCAAAGGGGATGCAGCAAGGAAAACCACCGTCACCTGGGAAGCGCTGAGCAAAGGTGAGTCCCCAGGCAATGCGACCGATTTGATCGGCACAAGGCATGCAAGCTCCACCCCCCAGTCGTTCTTAGAGTCCTTATTGGGTGAGCAACACAGCCAAGCAACACAGTTGGAGCCTCCCTCCTCCCTGGCCAACAGGGAGAGAGGGAGAGGAGCTGCTTCCTTTGAGACCCGGGAAATTTAAGGGACATCATCAATAAGGGACAGCAGCGGGACATGGCGCTGGGATAAGGGACTGTCCCGCCAAATAAGGGACGCTTGACAGCTATGCTTCTGATACGAACTCAGTCCTGGCAAACGTATAACAATTTGGTGCAGATCTTTTGTCTGATTATAGTAAGCATGGAACATCTGCTTATGTTATTTGTTCCCAGCTCCTGCTTACCTGCAGCTCTCGGAGGTACAGCTGAGCCGGGTCGTAATCCACCACTGGGAAAGCTGAGGTTTTGACAGCCGCACCGCTTTTCAACGTTCCCCGGAAGAAGGACTTGGCCGGTCGGTCCACTGCCTCCAGGTGCCTCGGGATCTGCTTGGGGTTCAGGTGGATGAGGACGTCGTAGAAGTCCAGAGGAGGGCGGAAGACCATCTGCCAAGGGGGAAGCCATGTCAAAATGGGGCTCGGCGGCAAGGGAAATGTGGAGCCGAGTCCCAAAGGAGGGGGAGAAGGAAGTTTTGTCAGCTAGCATCATCTCATCCAGGCCCAACCAGGGTCTCAGAAACCACAGCTGCACATCGCGTTCTGGTTAGCAGTGCAAGAGTGACAGACTGAGCTGTGATTCCTACAGATATGTATCAAACTCAGATATATAGGTAAAGTCGGCTATGATACATTGGGCCAAAGATTTTGGGTATAATATACAGTTAAAAGATTGGGGAAAACTGTGGAAAGAAGGGTTAAAATTTACTGAATGCAATGCCCTAAAAGAAAATGTGGTGAAAATGATGTATAGATGGTATATTACGCCTGTGAAACTAGCTAAAATGTATAAAGTTAGTAATAAATGCTGGAAATCTAAAGAAAAAGAAGGAACATTTTATCACATGTGGTGGGAATGTAAAAAAGTGAAAAACTTCTGGGAAATGATTTACAATGAGATGAAAAAAAACATGTTGAAATATATATTTATTAAGAAACCAGAAACATTTTTACTTGGCATTGTAGGAGATGATATAAATAGAAAGGGTTGTAAGTTGTTTTTCTATGCAATGACTGCAGCAAGAATACTATTGGTACAAAACTGGAAGCAAGAAGAATTACCGACGAAAGAAGAACGGAGGATGAAACTGATGGACTACGAAGAATTAGATAAACTAACAGGAAGGATTCAAAACCAGCGGGACCAGAGATTCCCAGAAGACTGGAGTAAATTTACAGGCTATTTGAAAAGAAATTGTGATGAACAGATTACGCTAGTAGGTTTGCAAGAAGTTTTGTAAGGTGAATTATTAGAAATATTGCAAAAATAAAAAAGATAATGAGGAGAATTATTAGTTAAAGATATTTAAAGGAAATATGAAATTAAGAAATGCATAATAAATGATAAGTACGGAAAATCATCAGAGGTGTTGATGGAAGTCCAAAAAATATTGTATAAGATGAGAAGTTCTGTTGTATGAATGTTAATTAATATGTTAAAAATTAATAAAAATGTAAAAAAAGAAAGAAACTCAAATATATAAGCCAGGTGCCTCCCTAAACCAGGGTTACAGTCGCCAAAACGGAATGCCTAGGTGCCATTTTTGGACCAGACGATTTTTGGGTTCCTCGGACATGAATCTCCAGATGGTGGAGACATCAGGAGCCATCCTGGCACCCGGGCAACTTCACTGGGTTGCATGTGGCCGACAGTCAGGTGCTTGTTTATTTTTCGTGGCACTGCGAGAGATTAGAGGGTACCACAGTTAACTTGCCCAGCACTAGGGAACGAATTAAAGATAACGTCCCTGCTTTAGATCCGATCTCGGTGCTGTGATGCCTAGCACTGTGACTGAAGATAATCTCCAGATGATAATAATAATAATAATAATAATAATAATAAAATTTTATTTCTACCCCACCTTTCCCGGTTCAAAAACCAGGCTCAGGGGAGCTAATAACAAATTTCAAACACTTTAAACCACTTAATTATAAAAGCAGCATAAAATACAGTATAAAAACATGAATAACAATAAAATTCAAAAATCAGTTAGATAATCCCCAGGGCTAGCTGGCTGAATTGGTCCTACTTGGGCCAGCGAGGAGGCCAGGGGAGAATTAGCTGTGGGGTCTCAGAGCGGGTGATCTTCATAAAAGGGGAGGGGGAGAGAAGAGAAGGGAAATAGAAGATCAGGCTGAATTCAAATTAAAGGCCAGGTGAAATAGCTCTGTCTTACAGGCCCAATGGAAGGAGGTTATATCCAGAAGGACCCTAGTTTCATGGGACAGAGCATTCCACCAGGTCGGAGCCACCATTGAGAAGGCCCTAGCCCTGGTGGAGGATAGTCTGATTTCCTTAGGGCCCGGGACCTCTAAACTATGGTTATTCACGACATAAAGCTGTGAGGGTTGTGGGAGATGCCTCTGGCTTGCAGGCCTCAAGCTGGCCATGTCTGCAGTAAGCTGGTCTTTTGGAAAATTATATATATATATATATATATATATATATATATATATATATATATATATATTAAAAATATCAGATCTCAGCAGCTGAAAGTCATGGAAGCACAGTGCCCCACTTCTGCATCTGCAGAGATGCTGAATCACCATGAGTTGAGTTTCTTGGGTTTGCTCACCAGCTTTCTCCCTGCCAAGGAGCACCCACAACACCAACTTTCACAGGCTTGCAATGCAAACCGCAAAATAAGAACAACAGAGAGCTCTGGAAGAGGTGCTGCAACAGCATGGCAGCTTCAGGAAGTGGTTGTCACTCTCACGCGGGCCTCCCAAAAACGCCCAGCTCTACAACAACCATATCGTGCGCAATATCATGCATCATGAGTGCGGTACTCTGGACAGCTATGGTGACACATCTGAGCTTTGCAAAAACAAGCTGGCAACACAGCAGAAGAGACATAGCCGGGTGGGGGTGGAATCCGAATTGACTCTTTGTTCTCTCCCCCAAAAAATGACGAATTGAAATTTGATGACGAAAGCCATAGAAGTGCAGAGCTAAGATAAACTCAATTCCGTAGCCTCCGTCAACTAAGATGCACCTGACACAGTGGCCTCGAGTCCTCAAAAAATTGTGCCACAAAAAAGTGTTAAGTGTTTAAGGTGCCACAAATGGTCTTTGATTTGCAGCAGTCACAGAGATTAACTACTGCAGCTGCCCCTCTGGAAACTGAATCGACGATGAAAAATGAAGAGAATGATGACTTGTGACATTTCATTCTGCAGTTTTAAAATCGTTTTGAGTAATTACCGTACTTTTCGCTCTATAGGATGCACATTTCCCCCTCCAAAAATGAAGGGGAAATGTGTGTGCGTCCTATGGAGCGAATGCAGGCTCCTTGGCTTCAGCGATAGCAACGCGAAGCCTCCGAAGCGCAGAGGGACAGCTCCCCCCGCGCTCCGGAGGCTTTGCGTTGCTTTTGCTGAAGCTGCCTGAAGCCCCCAGAGCGCAGGGGGAACTCCCGCTGCACTCCAGGGGCTTCAGGCAGCTATCCGCAAGCCTTCGGAGCGCAGCAGGAGTTCCCGCTGCGCTCCGAAGGCTTGCAGATAGCCGCCTGAAGCCTGGAGAGCGAGAGGGGTCGGTGCACACCAATCCCTCTTGCTCTCCAGGCTTCGCTTCGCTGGAGAGGCGCTGCACAGTTTTCCCTCTCTGCGCAGCACCCCTTCAGCGAAGCGGGAGGAGAATTGGAAGGGACTCCGTTTCTCCTGCCGCTTCGCTGAAGGGGCGTTGCACAGAGAGGGAGAGCTGCGCAGTGCCCCTTCAGTGAAGCAGGAGGAGAAATGGAAGGGGCTCCGTTTCTCCTCCCGCTTCGCTGAAGGGGCGCTGAGCAGAGAGGGGGATATTTTTTCCCCCTGTTCTCCCCCTCCTATGGTGCGTCCTATAGAGCGAAAAATACGGTACACAGAATCGTAGATTTGGAAGGGACACCAAAGGTCATCTAGTCCAACCCCCCTGGCAATGCAGGAAACTCTGCTAAAGCATCCATGGTGCATTTAAACCGGCTTTGTTAGTGACGGGGAAGCAGGAGCAGCTATTGTAAGGCACTGAAGCCCCACGTCCAAGCCCTCTACTGGGACTCTTATTCGGTCATTTACAAACCTTCTGTCACGAGGACTAGAAACTTACCTTTAAAAAATGAAACGAAAGGAGGAAATCAAGTCCCAAGAGGAAAGGTTGAAGGAATTGTGTGTGTTTGCCGTGGGAAAGAGAAGGACGAGGGAGGGTTCAGAAACCTGAATGGCTGAATGGAAGAGGGCAAAGGCGTCTTCTCTGCTGACTAGTTTTCATGGACAAGCAACAAGAGGGTAGATTTTCACTGAACATTAGGGGGGTCATCAGCCCCTCCTGCCACTTGCTTCACTGGCCAACCCCCTCCCAATCAAGTCTGTCACTCCTTGACAGGCCCAGGCTGGCCAACAAGCCTACAGAACAGCTTTGAATAGGCTATTTTGTTGACTGCATTGCAGAGGGTTGGAATAGACAACCAATTCGATGATTTCATGGAGAGACAGACAGACAGACAGACAGACAGACAGACAGACACAGTGTTATACCAATCAAGACCTGAAGAAGCGTCTCCACCCCCATCGTTCTGCCTGGACACTGCGGTCCAGTGCCGAGGGCCTTCTGGCAGTTCCCTCACTGCGAGAAGCAAAGCTACAGAGAACCAGGCAGAGGGCCTTCTTGGTAGTGGCACCTGCCCTATGGAACGCCCTCTCATCAGATGTCAAGGAAATAAATAACTACAGTGGTACCTCAGTGTATCTGACTTTTAGAAGACATCTGAAGACAACCCTGTATCAGGAAAATTTTTATGTCTAATGTTTTACAATGTCTAATGTTTTAAAGCTACAGGGAACCAGACAGAGGGCCTTCTCGGTAGTGGCACCTGCCCTGTGGAATGCCCTCCCACCAGATGTCACAGAGATAAACAACTACCTGACATTTAGAAGACATCTGGAGGCAGCCCTGTTCAGGGAAGTTTTTAATGTGTGACATTTTAATGTACTTTTAATCTTTGTTGGAAGCCGCCCAGGGTGGCTGGGGAGACCCAGCCAGATAGACAGGGTACAAATAATAAATTATTATTATTATTATTTTCATCAAATAGCATAAATGACTAAATAAACTTGCCTTCACATCCTGGCTTCCCAGAGGGTCCATGAGCTGCTTCTCCAAAACCTGAAGAGATTCCTGAGCTAAAACCAAGAGGCGCTGTAGGACCTGGTGTGGGGTGGAGAAGAAGAGGCAGAAGAGAAGGGGAGGTTTTAAGAACCGTTCACAGCCAGCGGGGATGGCGGGCACGCGAGGGCACTTGGCAAGGGCCAGTGCATCTGGAAGGACTCCCCACCACCACCTTTGCAAGGCCTGGCTCGATTCTGCAGGAGAGCAAAGGACGTTCGGAGGCAGCCGGCCCAAGAAGAGTTTTGGATTTGATATCCCGCCTTTCACTCCCCTTCAGGAGTCTCAAAGCGGCTAACATTCTCCTTTCCCTTCCTCCCCCACAACAAACACTCTGTGAGGTGAGTGGGGCTGAGAGACTTCAGAGAAGTGTGACTAGCCCAAGGTCACCCAGCAGCTGCATGTGGAGGAGCGGAGACGCGAACCCGGTTCCCCAGATTACGAGACTACCGCTCTTAACCACTACACCACACTGGCTCTCCAAGGTGGTGCCTTTGCCTCCAGACCCTTCCTCAAAAGGAGAGGCCCAGTGCGGTGTAGAGGTCAGAACAGGGTTCCCAAAGTGGGGTGCACCGTCCCGTGGCGGGGGGCGGGAAATAACCTAGAGGGGCGCCAAGAAGTAAGGGGGCGGCAGGGAGGTGCAGGAGGTGTAAATGGCCATCAGACTCTAAAAAGCTGATAGCACTGGATCATTGAGTTGAATTAAATAAACTACTGTGTGTGTGTGTGTGTGTGTGTGTGTGTGTGTGTAACATCTTTATTCTTTTCCCCCTCCTTTCCTCTGTACCGCTTTATTTCTTTATAACAGAAATTCTTTCAATAAAACAATAATATTTAAAAAGTTGAATTAAATTGGATTCCAAATGAAGGTGTAACTGCTACTGCTTTGAATTTTATTGTGTTGCTACCTTCCTGAGTGGGACGCGGGTGGCGCTGTGGGTTAAACCATAGAGCCAAGGACTTTGCTGATCAGAAGGTCGGCAGTTCGAATCCCTGCAACGGGGTGAGCTCCCGTTGCTCAGTACCTGCTCCTGCCAACCTAGCAGTTTGAAAGCACGTCAAAGTGCAAGTAGATAAATAGGTACCACTCTGGCGGGAAGGTAAACGGAGTTTCCGTGTGCTGCTCTGGTTCGCCAGAAGCGGCTTAGTCATGCTGGCCACATGACTTGGAAGCTGTACACTGGCTCCCTCGGCCAGTAAAGTGAGATGAGTGCCGCAACCCCAGAGTCGGCGATGACTGGACTTAATGGTCAGGGGTCCCTTTACCTTTTACCTTCCTGAGTGGGGTGTGCCATTATGAATAAAGGCTTTTTCATAGGGTGCTGTAGGGGGCAGTGGGCGTGAGTTTATAGAACCAAGGGGGCAGTGGCTTGAAAAAGCTTGGGAGACACTGGGCTAGACTAGGACCTGTGAGACCAGGGTTCAAATCCCCAAATCCGTCACGAAACTCACTGGGTGACCTTGCACCAGTCAGCCTAACCTAGAAATGTATATTAAATGAATAGATTGGAAAAATCTTCAGATGTGATTGATGGAAGTCAAAAAATTGTATAAGATATAAAAGTATGTTTAATTGTTGAAAATGATACGTCAAAAAACTAATAAAAAATTTAGATACCGTATTTTTCGCTCCATAAGACGCACTTTTTTCCTCCTAAAAAGTAAGGGGAAATGTGAGTGTGTCTTATGGAGCGAATGGCGCTGCGCAGAGAGGGAGAACTGCGCAGTGCCCCTTCAGCGAAGCGCCTCTCCTGGCTTCTGCCACACGCAGCTTCTTCGAGCAGGGGGAGCCTTCATCCCGCTGCCCTGAAGAGGCTTGGCGCAGCTATCCTAGTAGCCAGAACAGCCAGAGGCTATCCCAGAAGCCAGTTCCCTCTTTCTGTTCTGGTTTCTGGGATTCAGAATATTTTTTTTCTTGTTTTCCTCCTCCCAAAACTAGGTGCACCTTATGGTCTGGTGCGTCTTATGGAGTGAAAAATACGGTATGCGGTGGTACCCCGGGTTAAGTACTTAATTCGTTCCAGAGGTCCGTTCTTAACCTGAAACTGTTCTTAACCTGAAGCACCACTTTAGCTAATGAGGCCTCCCGCTGCTGCCGCGCCGCTGCCGCACGATTTCTGTTCTCACCCTGAAGCAAAGTTCTTAACCCGGGGTACTATTTCTGGGTTAGCGGAGTCTGTAACCTGAAGCGTACATAACCTGAAGCGTATGTAACCCGAGGTACCACTGTATATAAAAAAAAAGATGAGGAAGGGGAGAACCAGTGCTTTTTTCCTAAAAAAATGTTTAGGGCTTCTCTCATTTTCTTACTCATATTGCCCCCTCAATGAGGCCAAACTTAGATTCACAAAATGTTTAAGCGTATGCATACTCCTGCAGCCCCCACAAATAAAAAGCACTGGGGAAAACCCACGCACTGCCACCTCAAACATCCTTTGCTGTGTTCAATTTTAGCAGTGTTGAAAAGGCTTCAATGAGAGAGGACAGATCGGAAGAGGCCGGGAAGTAAAGGTTTGACCTGCCCAACCAGGGGATGAAGGCTGCAGCTGGGCTCACCTGCGCAGAGGGCTTCTCCTTGGTCCACGCCGAGTCCTGGCGGTCCCTGGGGGTGGCGATGAACATGACGGGGAGGCGCGGCCGGGCGGCCACAAAATGGTTCCTGATCTCCACGTAATCTGCATCTGGATGCAAAAACATCATGGCGTCAGACAGCAGAAGTCGCTGCAACGGGGGGGGGAGCGGACAAAGTTTCTCTGGCGCCCTCCTGTTACAACACTCGATGCAAGAGACAAGAGAAAAGAAGGACCATCTCACTGAAAAACTCCGGTTCAATCACAGCCATCTTCAGGTAGGGCTGGTCAGGCATGTCCCCTGCCTAGGGAAGCTGCAGCTGCCCACCAGTGTAGACATCACAGGGCTAGATTCTAAACTAGGCAGTTCCTCGTGTTCCCAGATCACGATTATTTATTTATTTTTATTAATGTATTTATTTGGCTTTTCAGATTAAAATTTTACAGTCATATATACCACATAGGGTGGCGCTGTGGGTTAAACCACAGAGCCTAGGACTTGCCAATCAGAAGGTCGGCGGTTCGAATCCCCACGACGGGGTGAGCTCCCGTTGCTGGGTCCCTGCTCCTGCCAACCTAGCAGTTCAAAAGCACGTCAAAGTGCAAGCAGATAAATAGGTACCGCTCCGGCGGGAAGGTAAACGGCGTTTCCGTGCGCTGCTCTGGTTCACCAGAAGCGGCTTAGTCATGCTGGCCACATGATCTGGAAGCTGTACACCGGCTCCCTCGGCCAGTAAAGCAAGATGAGCGCCGCAACCCCAGAGTCGGCCACGACTGGACCTAATGGTCAGGGGTCCCTTTACCCTATACCACATAGAAACAAGATTCCAAGGAATCTCCTGGATTTCCCTCCTCCCCTTTGTGGGTCCTATTGTTCGTCATTTCCTCCTGCATATTTCATAATAATCCAAATCTTTTACCTCTCCACTGTGTCCAAATTCACCATTAGACTACAAGCGTTATTCCAATCCTACAAACGATTTTAACTGTTTACAATGATTCTTAAGCTAAGTTATAAATTTCCCCCAATCCTTATTAAAATTTTGGTCTCCCTGATTTCTGATTCTTCCGGTCATTTTAGCCATTTCAGCGTAATCCATCAACTTGATCTGCCATTCTTCTCCGGTAGGGACTTTATCTTCTTTCCATCTCCGGGCCAATAACATCTGTGCGTCCGTGGTTGCATAAATAGCCTGCTCCCTTGGGATTTTGGCACCTAGAATTCCTAAAATAAAGGCTTCAGGTTCCCAGATCACGATGAAGGCAGCACCGAACCACAAGCACCGCCCACAAGCTGCCTGCATTCCCCTACAGAGGCACGATCCACCTATGCCACACCTGCGACCCTCCAGATAGATGGTGATGGGATGCAGCTGCCATCATCCCTTGACCATGGGCTGGGCTGGGATTGGTGGGAGCTGCAGTCCAACTGCACCTCGAGGGCACCAGGTTGGGAAGCCTTGGACCCATGGTGGAGGATGTAAAGGCGTAATATATGCACACCGACAATACTGAGAGCTGTGAAGATTCACTTCTCAGTATGCGGATTGAGAGTTAAGATATAGCAGAGATAGAGGACGATAGATGGATAGATTTGTTGTGGTTGTATTTCTTTGCTTTTTCTTTCTTTTTTCTTTTTCTCCTTTATAATGAGTATGGGTTGCTCGTGCGTAAGTTGCCGCCTCTCCAGGCTTTGTTGCCTTGGTAAACCTTTCAGCCTGGGCAGCCCTTCACTTCGTGGCTGCCTCAGTCGCTAGCAGAATCCGTCAGTGGGCGTTTCTTAAATCTTTTCCAACATAAAAGTTGTTTGACACCCAGTCTCCTCCTACTCTCTCTGCGCGGAAGTCTTCTGCGCAGGGTGGGCGTGGGTAGCGGGGGACCAGTGCTCTCCCCGCTGGTGTCCGGTGAAGAGTCCTGGAGCCCTCTCGCCAATTCCCCCATCAGCCCCTCCTTATCCCTCGTGTAGCGCTGATTTGCTTCCCCATCTGCGGAGCTGCCTCTCTCCCTGCTGGGCCCTTCTCCAGCATCATTTGAGAGCCTTCCCTCCGCCTCTAGCTCCGATGTCAGTTCCCTGACATCCCTCTTTTCTTCTCCTCTTATATCTTTTTCTTCCTTTTTCTGATTTTTTTTTTTTTGGTCGTATTTCTATTTGGTTTTTACTGCATTATACAGTGGTACCTCGGGATGCGAACAGGATCCGTTCCGGAGCCCCTTCGCATCCAGAAGCAAACGTAAGTAGCGACGGCGTGCCTGCGCACGCACACGTCGCTTTTCACCGCTTCCACGCATGACGTCATTTTGAGCATCTGTGCATGCGCGGGCAGCGAAACCCGGAAGTAACGTGCTCCGTTACTTCCAGGTTGCCGCGGAGTGCAACTCGAAAACGCTCAACATGAAGCATATTCAACCCGAGGTATGACTGTATGCTGAAAACTTTTAATAAAATTAATATGAAGAAAAAAGAAACCTACAGAGCCCCAGCACCAGCCAACCCAGGGTCTTTTCATCTTGGAGATGAAGCAGTTTTTTTTAAAAAAGGAGTGAAGTTTTGGAGAACACGATGAATTCTGCAATCTGCATCAAAGGTGCAAATACCGTATTTTTCGCTCTATAAGATGCACCAGACCACAAGACGCACCTAGTTTTTGGAGGAGGAAAACAAGAAAAAAAATATTCTGAATCTCAGAAGCCAGAACAGCAAGACGGATCGCTGCGCAGTGAAAGCAGCAATCCCTCTTGCTGTTCTGGCTTCTGGGATAGCCAAGCAGCCTGCATTCGCTCCATAAGACGCACACGCATTTCCCTTACTTTTAGGAGGGAAAAAGTGAGTCTTATAGAGCAAAAAATACGTTAGATCACATCGGTATACCGGAATACTTTATCCAGATTTTGCCAGGCATGGAGAAACACTGAGCACTGAGCCCCACACCAACCCAAGGTCTAGAAATCTGAGTCGGACACCTCGCTGGCTATTGCACACACACTTTGAAAACACACCTTCACTGTGGTTCGGTGGCTTTGTGGTTGGGTGCTGCCTTCATCGTCATCTGGGAACCTGAAGCCTTTATTTTAGGAATTCTAGGTGCCGAAATCTCAAGGGAGCAGACTATACATTTATGCGACCACGGCCGCACGGATGTTATTGGCCCAGAGATGGAAAGAAGATAAAGTCCCTACCGGAGACGAATGGCAGATCTAGTTGATGGATTATGCTGAAATGGCTAAAATGACCGGAAGAATCAGAAATCAGGGAGACCAAAATTTTAATAAGGAATGGGGAAATTTATAACTTATCTTAAGAACCATTGTAAACAGTTAAAATCGTTCGTAGGATTGGAATAACGCTTGTAGTCTAATGAGAGCCAGTGTGGTGTAGTGGTTAAGAGCAGTAGACTCGTAATCTGGGGAACCAGGTTCGCGTCTCTGCTTCTCCACATGCAGCTGCTGGGTGACCTTGGGCCAGTCACACTTCTCTGAAGTCTCTCAGCCCCACTCACCTCACAGGGTGTTTGTTGTGGGGGAGGAAGAGAAAGGAGAATGTTAGCCGCTTTGAGACTCCTTCAGGTAGTGATAAAGCGGGATATCAAATCCAAACACCTCCTCCTTCACAGCCATGAGAACTAGAAACCTGCCACTCAGATCTTTTTTTTTAAAAAAAAAAAAAGGACAGCTGAAATTTTTCAGAATGCTCTGCTCTGCTCCAAGATAAGGGGGGCGGGATGTTCCTGCTGTGCTATACTTTAATGGACCTTTAAGGCAGGAAATTACAAGCTCCTAGAAAAGCGACGATTAATCTTGTTGAGTTGTTTCACGAGGAAATATTTGGACTGCAGGCCTCTTTAGCAAAATGGTGCCCAGGCTTCTGGTTTCATTAATACAGAAGTCAAGCTCTGGAGCACTGGGAGCAGACACTCCTTTCTCTGAGTCAGGAGGTGAACGAGATAACCTTTGCTCCTGTCTGCCTCGGGATCTGCAAATCTGAAAAAATGCAGTGATGCTGCTTCCTGAGCCTCTGATCAACACAGAGAAAGAGACTCCTTCCTCCAAATGCCATGATAAAAATTAAATGAACTCTCTTCCCACCATCTAGCTGCCCCTCGATTAGGCTGCGTGGAGGCAGATTACAAGAGCAGATCTATGTTCCTGGAGAGGCAGAGTGTGGATTGTCTGAATACAGTGGTACCTTGGGTTACATACGCTTCATACGCTCAGGTTACAGACTCCACTAACCCAGAAATAGTGCTTCAGGTTAAGAACTTTGCTTCAGGATGAGAACAGAAATCATGCTCCAGTGGCACGGCTGCAGCAGGAGGCCCCATTAGTTAAAGTGGTGCTTCAGGTTAAGAACAGTTTCAGGTTAAGTACGGACCTCCGGAATGAATTAAGTACTTAACCTGAGGTACCACTATAATTGGTTGGAAGAGGTTGGGGCGGGCGATGGAAGTTGAAGCCACCTTTCTGAGCCTAATATTTGTTCATTTGACCACACTGTTCATTAGGCATAGAAATATTCTGTCCTTCTATATTCATTTATTTCGGGTTAAAACTGGGGACACGCTCCGCTCTTGTAGTCAGTCAAAACAGGCACAGCCAGAGGCAGCAATGCTTCTCAATACAGTGGTACCTTGGTTTCCGAACAGCTTAGTCCATGGGTAGGCAAACGAAGGCCCCGGATCCGGCCCAATCGCCTTCTCAATCCGGCCCACTGATGGTCTGGGAATCAGCGTGTTTTTACATGAGTAGAATGTGTGCTTTTATTTAAAATGCATCTCTGAGCTATTTGTGGGGCATAGGAATTCGTTCATTTCCCCCCCCCCCCCAAAAAAAATAGTCCGGCCCCCCACTGTTGAATGGTCTCTTTAAATCTGAAGGTTCATTATTGTTCCACCAGATGTGTATTTCTTTAAGGGCCAGAGCAAATAACGTGACCTAGTTTTACAGCTGTGAAGCAGTATAGCAGGTGCTGTTAAGGTGTGATAATTAAGCTGTTGGGTATAGTATATAAAGAGCAGCACCTAGCTTTCTCAGTACCCTGGTGGTTGGGTCATGCTTATTGATCTATTATAATTAATGTAAAAGGAGTTTTGTTTTGTTATTAAAACCTAGCAAAAGGTTATTTTGCGTTCCTTGTAATGTGTGGTCTCTGTAGCGCAAGCTCTCTACAGCGCAACTAATCTGCAAACAGTCAGTACCCACAAGGTCTGAGGGACAATGGACCGGCCCCCTGCTGAAAAAGTTTGCTGAACCCGCCTTAGTTCTTGAACAACTTGGAACCCGATCGCTGCAAACCCGGAAGTAAGTGTTCCAGTTTGTGAACTTTCTTCAGAAGTCAAACGTGCTCCGTTTTGAGTGCAACGCTTCCGTTCTGAGTGCTACGCTGAGGTCTGTCTGCTTTTGCTATTAATTTTGCATTTTTATTGAATTTTTTGTTTTTGTGACTGTGGGGAACCCAGTTCAGCGACTGATTGATTGTGTGACTGCGGAAATGGATAAAAGCTGCAAGGCCAAGAGAACCATTAACAGAACAACAATAGAGGTAAACTGTTAAATTGCTGTTTTAGAGGTTTTTAAATGTCTGGAACTAGATGGGCCATTGGCCTGTTCCTGCAGGGCCTTCTTATGTTCTTAAGTCTGAGTGTGTGGTTTGGGAGCTGCACGGTCAGGGGAAAAACCATGCTGGCCAGGGTTGTAAAGACTGCGGAGAGAATAACTGGGTGCACTCTTCCCACCTTGGATCAAATCTACGCTTCCAGGTGCCATAAGAAAGCTGCAGAGACCGCGCAGGATAGTGTGCACCCCGAAAATGATCTCTTTCAGCTTCTGCCTTCTGGAAGAAGGTACAGGGTTATAAAGACTAGGACTAGCCGCCTGAGAAACAGTTTCTATCCAAATGTGATTTTGGTTTTAAACACAGTGTAAGGTAGTCTTTAGGGACGCGGGTGGCGCTGTGGGTTAAACCACAGAGCCTAGGACTTGCCGATCAGAAGGTTGGCGGTTCGAATCCCCGCGATGGGGTGAGTTCCCGTTGTTCGGTCCCTGCTCCTGCCAACCTAGCAGTTCAAAAGCACGTCAAAGTGCAAGTAGATAAATAGGTACCGCTCCGGCGGGAAGGTAAACAGCGTTTCCATGCGCTGCTCTGGTTCGCCAGAAGCGGCTTAGTCATGCTGGCCACATGACCCGGAAGTTGTACGCCGGCTCCCTCGGCCAATAAAGCAAGATGAGCGCCGCAACCCCAGAGTCGGCCACGACTGGACCTAATGGTCAGGGGGTCCCTTTACCTTTAAGGTAGTCTTTGTGGGAGTATATTGTATTTAAAAATGGGGTATCAGAGTTTTTAGGGGGCTAACCAGGTTGGGATAGCTGGGATAGCAGGCTTGTTGGTTTTCGAATGTCTTATGTAGATTTTTCAATTTCGTTGTTCTGTATGGGACAATGACAATAAAGATTATCGTATTGTAACGAGAGCAAACAGACCCCCAGTTTTCCGTGGCTAGGCAGTAAAGCAAGGTATTGTCTACTGTCCGCATGCTAAAATTTTCAGTTCTTTGGGGAATGTGCCCATGGAAGGCAGCACTGGCAGAGGAGAGCCCTGTTATCTGGCTTATTGCTTAGCGTTCCTGCGTCCAAAATCTGGGGATGACCTCACAAATCTCTGACATGTCAGCGTTTTCATTCGACCCTCTTGCCAAAAGCATGCTGAGAGTGTTTTATATGTGCAGCGGAGATTAAGTGGGAGAAGGCACCAGTCATGGGAAAGCTTTAATTCTGGTGGAGACAGTCTTAAGCGAGGCTTTATGACATATGGCACATCAAAGCTCAGATCTGCTTCCCATATCATTAATGAGCCATCTGTGTTTCCACAAGGCTGAATGATCCAAATATTATAGATAACAGGCACTCACTCTTGAGACGTTTACGAGCTTCGACGCATGTGCTACTTTTCAAACTCGGCAAGCAAACAGAACGCCTATTGCAGAACCGCACAGCAGGTAAATGATATAAGTTGTCTCAACTCCATGGGGTTGGAATTATTTTTGCCTTGGAATAAGGAGGTGGTTTGGGTCAGCAGACAGAGAATTATACAGTGGTACCTCAGGTTAAGTACTTAATTCGTTCCGGAGGTCTGTTCTTAACCTGAAACAGTTCTTAAACTGAAGCACCACTTTAGCTAATGGGGCCTCCTGTGCCGCCGCGCCACTAGAGCACGATTTCTGTTCTCATCCTGAAGCAAAGTTCTTAACCTGAAGCACTATTTCTGGGTTAGCAGAGTCTGAAACGTGAAGCGTATGCAACCCGAGGTACCACTGTACCTCCTTCAACTAGACCTTTGAATCAGTGGACAGCCTGGTCTCCCCCTCCCAGTTTCTGAACTGTTGACATTTACTAATGTCATTTAAAAAAGAATGATGATCTAAAATAAGTACAAGGTGCAAACCAAGCTTATCTAGACAAGACTTCTAAATGAGGGAACTAACTGGTTTCATGAGCTGTGTGTGCACAGAAGCAGGTGGTGGGAAAGGTAAAATACTAAGGATGGAAATGACTTTGCAAAGAACTCGGTAGAAAGCCAGCCAAGATTAAGTATCTTATTTTTGCAAGGAATGGGGAAACTGTCTAAATTGGCCAGTGTCCTTGCAAAGGTTCCTCCAGCATTTAAATTAGCCAGAAGAGACCAGAAGGCGGGAGGGCAGTTCTTACAGGAACCGATTTGCAGATGAATGAGGAGCCAAAAACAGATGGGTAGCTACAGGAATGGTATGGTTTTCCCAGTAGTGATGTATGGAAGTGAGAGCTGGACCATAAAGTAGGCTGATCGCCGAAGAATTGATGCTTTTGAATTCTGGTCCTGGAGGAGACTCTTGAGAGTCCCATCGACTGCAAGAAGATCAAACCTATCCATTCTTAAGGAAATCAGCCCTGAGTGCTCACTGGAAGGACAGATCGTGAAGCTGAGGCTCCAAGACTTTGGCCACCTCATGAGAAGAGAAGACTCCCTGGAAAAGACCCTGGTGTTGGGAAAGATGGAGGGCACAAGGAGAAGGGGACGACAGAGGACGAGATGGTGGGACAGTGTTCTCGAAGCTACCAGCATGAGTTTGACCAAACTGCAGGAAGCAGTGGAAGACAGGAGTGCCTGGCGTGCTCTGGTCCAGGGGGTCACGAAGAGTCGGACACAACTAAACAACTAAACAACAACAAGCTACTGGAACGGTTGTAACAAGGAAGTCGCCTGCTCCCTATAACCAGCCCCAGTCAATAGTCTGGCTGCAGCAATTTGGGTCTGTTGATGTTTCGTAGCACTTTTAAAGGCAGCAGCCCCTGCAGAGCATTTTATTATCATCCACATAGGAAGCAATTAAGGCATTTATCACTGTGGCCAAATCAGACATCTCTTTAAAAGCCACGAGAAATTCAACCCATGTCTTGCTGGACTCCAAGATCCTCCCTTAAAAAAAATATATATGAAGGGGAAAAGCCAAGGTAAATTCAACGAGGAGGTCTATCCGCTGCCATTACCGCAGCAAGAAAATGAAGCCTCCATGTATAAGGGAAGTATACCTCTGAATAGAAGGTGCTGGGGCCACCAACAACGAGAGCAACTCCTTTCCTGCTCTGCCTGCAACCTCCCAGAGGCATCTCTCTGGGGTACTGGCAGGAGATGGAATGCAGGACCCGGCCAAGTCATTTCTCATGTTCCAAACAACGAGAAGAAAAGAGCGATTTAGCACGCTCTGGGCGATGTTAACACAGCAAAGTCGGATGTTCTTTGCAACAAAAGGAGCAGGGAGGTTTGGCAAGCTGGATTGCAATTGCAAAAGCACCTGGCTTCACTGCGGGGATCAGGTTGCTAAGCCCTCCTTGGAAGGAAGGCGAAAGGAAACCAGGAAATCATCGTACTAATCCTAACAAGGAAGGTTTGGCCTCTTAATTCTTCCAAGACGAGCCCTATGGCAAGGAAACCTCAGAGACTGGTCAGCATGGAAGAGGCTTCCCTAAGGAAAGGAAGACTCAGGGAAGCTGGAAGTTGGGAGATTCCGGACAGATAAAAGGAAGTACGCAGCACCTAAACTATGGAACTCACTTCCACAGGAGGCCACCAACTTGGACGGCTTGAAAGGACAGTTAGACAAATTCATGGAGGAAGAGAGGCTATCAGCGGCTCCTCAGTTCTGCCTCCACAGTCAGAGGAAAAGATGCTTCTGAACTAGATGAGCCTCAGGGTCCCTTCCAACTATGATTCTATGTGACCAGGCTATGTATGCAATTTAGCGGCTAGCTTGTTCATCCTGTTAATTTTACAATATGATGGAGCAGCTCAGTCGATAGAGCATGAGACTCTTAATCTCAGGGTCGTGCATTCAAGACTCACACTGGGAAAAATATTCCTGCATTGCAAGGGGTTGGACTAGATTATACATACACATACACACACACACACACACACATGCAGTCCCTTCCAACTCTACAAGTATCTACGGGACCCTCGTATCTACGGGACCGCCTCTCCTGGTCTGCCCCACAGAGGACCTTAAGGTCCATGAATAACCATAGTTTAGATGTCCCGGTCCCTAAGGAAGCCAGATTATCCTCCACCAGGGCCATGGCCTTCTGAGTGTGGGCTCCACCCTGGTGGAATGCTGTGTCCCAGGAGACCAGGGCCTTTCAGGATTTAACCTCCTTCCGTCAGGCCTGTAAGACAGAGCTGTTCCGACCTGGCCTTTAATTTGAATTCAGCCTGATCTTTTATTTCCCTTCTCTTCCCTCCCCGTCCTCTTTTATGATCACGATCTGAGACCCCCCAGCGAATTCTCCCCAGGCCTCCTCACTGGCCCAAGTACGACCAATTCAGCCAGCTTAGCCCTAGGGATTATATAATTGATTTTTGAATTTTATTGTCATTCACATTTTTATATTGTATTTTATGCTGTTTTTATAATTAAGTGTTTTAAATTTGTTGTTAGCCGCCCTAAGCCCGGTTTTAAACCGGGAAGGGCGGGGTATAATAAATTATTTTATTATTATTATTAATATTATTATTATTATTATATATTATTTATTACAATTTTATGATTCTATGGATGCCAGGTGCTAGAAACCACTGAAGGAGAGATTGTTGCTCTTGTGCTCGGATCCTGTTGCAGGTTTCCACCGACATCTCATCAGCCACTGTGAGAACAGGGTGCTGGAAAGAGGGACCACGGGCCTGATCCTGCAGGCTCTCTCTGTTTCTACTGTCCCTCCCTCCACCTCTCTCACCGTTCAGCTCAGCATTCAGGTTGATGATGAGGGGGCTGTTCTTCCAGTCAAAAGTGGTGAGCAGGAAAAGGAACCGAAGGAATCCCACTTGCGGGGAGCTGCAGGGAGAGAAGAGTCACGAAAGGCAGCATTATTTTAGCTGTATTGTGTATTATAGGGACGCGGGTGGCGCTGTGGGTTAAACCACAGAGCCTAGGACTTGCCGATCAGAAGGTTGGTGGTTCGAATCCTCGCGATGGGGTGAGCTCCCGTTGCTCGGTCCCTGCTCCTGCCAACCTAGCAGTTCGAAAGCACGTCAAAGTGCAAGTAGATAAATAGGTACCGCTCTGGCGGGAAGGTAAACGGCGTTTCCGTGCGCTGCTCTGGTTCGCCAGAAGCGGCTTAGTCATGCTGGCCACATGACCCGGAAGCTGTATGCCGGCTCCCTCGGCCAGTAAAGTGAGATGAGTGCCGAAACCCCAGAGTCGCCCATGACTGGACCTAATGGTCAGGGGTCCCTTTACCTTTACTGTGTATTATATTCATTTCATATACAGGTCTCAAGCCAGCTGAAGGACACACAGTGGTACCTCTGGTTGTGAACAGGATCTGTTCTGGAGGCCCATTTGCGACCTGAAAAGAGCGCAACCTGAAGCACCGTATCTGCTCAGGTGCGCGGTGCAATTTAGCGCTTCTGCATATGCGTGAGCGGCGAAACCCGGAAGTAACCCTTTCCAGTACTTCCAGGTTGCCGCAGGACGCAACCTGAAGCATCTGTAACATGAGGCATGACTGTACTCTTATAAAGAGATAGAATAATTTTAAAAGCAGTCCAACAGCAGAAGTTTAAAAAGAACACGAAACGAACAGTCCAGGCAGAGGAGGTCTGTTCACCTAACTGGGAAAGTTTGTTGAAACAAAACTGACTTAAAAGGTTTTTTTAAAAAGATAAAGGACCCCTGGACAGTTAAGTCCAGTCAAAGGCAACTATGGGGTTGCGGCGCTCATCTCGCTTTCAGGCCGAGGGAGCTGGCGTTTGTCCACAGATAGCTTTGCGAGTCATGTGGCCAGCAGGACTAAACTGCTTCTGGCGCAACAGAACACCGTGACGGAAACCAGAGCGCACGGAAATGCCGTTTACCTTCCCATTGCAGTAGTACTTATTTATCTACTTGCACTGGTGTGCTTTCGAACTGCTAGGTTGGCAGGAGCTGGGACAGAGCAATGGAAGCTCACCCTGTTGCGGGAATTCGAACCACCGACCTTTTGATCAAGAGGCTCCGTGGTTTAGACCAGGGGTCAGCAAACCTTTTCAGCAGTTTCCTTCCCTTTGGGAGGTTAAATCCTGAAGGGCCCTAGTCTCATGGGACAGAGCATTCCACCAGGTGGGAGCCATCACTGAGAAGGCCCTGGCCCTGGTGGAGGGTAGTCTCACTTCCTTAGGGCCTGGGACCTCTAAACTATGGTAATTCATATGGTCCCGTAAATACGAGGGCCCTAAGCCACATGACCAAAGGGTCATCCCGTTGAACCCCTTGCCTTTTAGGATAAAAAGTGCTGTGGGGTCTGATCCAGCAAGGAGCATGTTCAGGGTAGGTTCGTATTTTGGGAACACCACAAACACAAGATGGTGCTGCCCCCAGCACTCACAGGTAGACTGCTCCTATTCATGGAAGGGACGTCAAAACCTGACCAAGGAGCAATTAAAAAAGTGTAACAGACTCAGGTGGTTGTGAAGCAGGTGTCCCGCTGTCTGGGCCCTTACCTGGGCACAGTGAAGGGTGCTGGGGACAGGAAGAGGGAGGCCACCAATAAGTCCACGCATTCCTCCGAGACGCTGTTGCTCAGCAGTTGAGCGCTGATCCAGCGCTTGGCGAGACGGCAGCAGCCACTGAAAGCAGAATGTTGCTGCTGGAGGCTGTAAGGAGGAAGCAAACAATTTGAGACCCGTTGCCAAATCTGCCGGCAACATCACCATAATCCGAAGGCAATGGAAAGCAAACCAAAAAAGCTATTATTATGATGACTGGCGACATCAACTCTGCCGAGTGGGAATCTCTCTATACCTGAAGGAGTGTCTCCACCCCCATCGTACAGCCCGAACACTGAGGTCCAGCTCCGAGGGCCTTCTGGCAGTTCCCTCCCTACGAGAAGTGAGGTTACAGGGAAGCAGGCAGAGGGCCTTCTCGGTGGTGGCGCCTGCCCTGTGGAACGCCCTCCCATCAAATGTCAAGGAAATAAACAACTATCTGGGTTTTAGAAGACACCTGAAAGCAGCCCTGTTTAGGGAAGTTTTTATTGTTTGCTGTTTTATCGTGTTTTTAATATTCTGTTGGGAGCTGCCCAGAGTGGCTGGGGAGACCCAGCCAGGTGGGCGGGGTATAAGTAATAAATTGTTGCTGCTGCTGCTGCTGCAATGACCAGAGGAGGACTGACCACTGGGAGGAGTGCAGAGAGAAGAAATGCCATGGACAACTGGACGCCTTCATTTGCTCCAGCTGCAACAAAACATGTCTCTCCCACATCGGTCTCTACAGCCACAGCAGGTTCTGAACCTCCCAATAGTTTGACTTCACCCCCAAAGGCACATTCCTCCTTTGTCTCCCAAGATAGATGGATGGCATTATTATTTATTATTTATTATTATTAAGTGTGCATTGCGGAAAGCCCGCAAGGAGGACTGGACTGTGCAAGCCATGCTCTCTGCCCTTGTGATTCCCATCAATTGGGATTCAGGGGAATACCACGACCATTGTGTGTCGCAGGCATCATTCTCCCCGCTTACCCGTGAAGTGAGCTGGTCAAGAACGGCAGGTGCAGGGTCTCCACTTCCAGCTGCATGGATTCTTCCGTGACCTCGTGTTTCAGCATGCCTGTGGGGGTGACCACCTCCTTCAGGATTTGGGGCTCTCGGTGGTAGGCCACTTGGAGGCGGAAGACATAGCCGTCCTGAGAAAGAGGAGGAGCAGGAGGGGAAATTATTTGCTTCTTAAAAGCCTGATGGATCAGCCCAGCATCCTGGTCTCACAGGGGCAAAGCCGATGCCTGGGGGAACCAGTGATCAGGATTCGAACACAAGACCTCCCTTCCCATCCTGCAGTTTCTAGCAACTGGGATTCTGTAGCTTTGCTGCCTTTGACCCTGGAGCGCAGGGCACAGCCATCATGGCTGGCAGCCATTCCTAGCCTTCTCCTCCATACATTTCCCTAATCTAAGTTTGTGATCATCACTGTCTCTTGTGGGAGGAAGTTCCACAGTCCTGAATCTTCCAACATCCAACATCAGCCCACCGTCTTGGGTCCATGCCGAAAACCTGCTCTTCACCCAATGACCCCAGGGCGAGTTCCATAAAATATTGCAATTCAGAGCCACGTGCAGTAAATTAGAAATGTTAAATTAAAAGCGCAAAAGTAAAGAAAATCTCAGGAGCAGCAGAAGTTCAAGGCAAAAACTTTCCCCTTCAACTAGGCCTTTGGCTTATGGACACCTGGTGCCCTTTTGAATGTGTTGTGGAAGGGAAGATCATTGGGTTGTCTTGGCTTTTTGTTTTTATTATATATTCTGTGTTTTTTATTATATATTCTGTGTTTTTATTATGTATTCTGTGTTTTTATATTGTAATTTTATGTTGTCAACTGCCCTGAGACCTATGGGTATCATAGCTGTCAACGTTTCCCTTTTTTAAGGGAAATTTCCTTATTAAAATAGGATTCCTCGCAAGAAAAGGGAAAAGTTGACAGCTATGATGGGTATAAAATTTAATAAATAAATACAATTAGGGCGCAAAGGAAGGAGGCAAGAGACCAATTTGCACCAAAAGTCAGGGTAAGGTGGCCTTTCTGGACCTGATGGTGAACTTTACACAAGAGTGGTGCAAGATGCACACCAGAAAGCCAGAAGTCCTGAATCTCAGCCCTTAGAGAGTCATCCTCTCCGTGCGAGCGGCTCAGAGATGAGTCCACCAACCACCACAAAGCCAAGCGAAGTTTGTGGCAGGAAAAGGGTCCCAGAGAGCCAAAATCCCTTCAAGATTATGGAACGTGTGGTGCTGGGCGCTGCTGAGGACAGCAGGGTGGAATAGCTGCCCAAAGCTAGGGGCAATATTCTGAATTTGCTTCAGATTTATCAGGAGGAGTCTGCATGTGAAATGGTTATGATAGTGTATTGAGAGCACCTGTATCCCAAAGTGACGTTAAAGCAATACAGCTGACCTTTAATGCCCTAAACGGCCTCGGCCCAGTATACCTGAAGGAGCATCTCCACCCCCATCGTTCAGCCTGGACACTGAGGTCCAGCTCCGAGGGCCTTCTGGCGGTTCCCTCACTGCAAGAAGCCAAGTTACAGGAAACCAGGCAGAGGGCCTTCTGAGTAGTCAAGGAATGTCAACGAAATAAACAACCGTCTGACTTTTAGAAGACATCTGAAACGTAGCCCTGTTTAGGGAAGTTTTAAATGTTTGATGTTTTATTGTGTTTTTAATACAGTGGACTCTAGGGTTGCGAACGTGATCCGTGCAGGATGCATGTTTGCAACCCCCATGTGCAGGTTGCGAGTTGGTGCTTCTGCACATGTGCAAAGCTCGTTTTAGCGTTTCCGTGCATGCGCGACCGCCAAAACCCAGAAGTAACCCATTCCGCTACTTCCGGGGTTTTGGCAGTCCGTAACCCAAAAAAACGCAATCTGAAGCGTCTCTAACCCGAAGTATGACTGTATTCTGTTGGAAGCTGCCCAGAGTTGTTGGGGAAACCCAGCCAGATGGGTGGAGTAAAAATAATAAATTACTGTTGTTATTATTATTAGCAGCCCATGCCCACAGGCCTATGTCAAAGAAACATGACACACAAGGGAGAAGGTGTGAGGAGGGCAGAGGAAGAAATCAAACCCAAGCACAAATATATAAACATTTGTTCTCATAATGGGCAGCTTGCACAGTTCAGGCGTAGGAGGAGCCTGGCAGAACCGGGTTTTCAGCAAAGCTGACTGGCTGAGCCTTCTGCTTTCCATCTCTCCCAGCGATGGCTGCCCCCAGGTCACAGGAGAGGAGACTTGATGGAGCTGGCCTGTCACAGCGGAACTGATGGAGTGAGCCCTGCTTCCCATCTCTCTCTCTCTCTCTCTCTCTCAAGATAGCAGGCCCCTGGTCATATTTCGCAAGGCAACGGCTTCCACCTTCCTGCGCACCTGCGGGGCCAAATGTGCACGAACCACCCTCCGGCACAATTACCTTATAGACGTCCGTGTAGGTGGGCGAAGCTCTGCAGAGCAGATGGTGCTGCTGGTGGAGAAGTTCTGCCAGCCGCAGCTGGAAGGCGGCCTTGACCCGCCGGATGGCTTCCTTGCTCTGAGGCCACTGGCCGCTGCCCTCCATGTGGCAGATCACTGGTGCAAGAGGGAAGGAAGAGGCAAAAGAGTTAACAGAAGGCGCAAGGAGCAGCGTGGAAGCAGGAGGAGGGCAGGCGAAGATCCAGATAAGGCTCCATCCAGATAAGACCGAAGCAGTGTTCCCTAGAGCAGATGGCTGGAAGGTTGATGGGGTTACACTTCCTCTGAAGGAGCGAGTATGTAGCTTGGGGGTATTCCTAGACCCCTTGCTGTTGTCCGAAGCCCATGTGGCCTTGGAAGTGTGGGGTGACTTCCATCAGCTGCGCCCCAGTCTGGACAGGGATAACCTAACTTCTTCCCTTTTTTCAATTCATTTTTTTGGTTTTTGAAATTGAAACTTTCCATTCACATTATTCAACAAGATTCCAAGGAATCTCCTGGACTTCCCCTCCTCCCCTTTGTGGGTCCTATTGTGAATCAGTTCCCTCGCTGCGAGAAGCCAAGTGACAGGGAACCAGGCAGAGGGCCTTCTCGGTAGTGGCACCTGCCCTGTGGAACACCCTCCCACCAGATGCCAAAGAGAAAAATAACTACCAGACTTTTAGAAGACATCTGAAGGCAGTTTTTAATGTGTGACATTTTAATGTATTTTTAATCTTTGTTGGAAGCCTCCGAGAGCGGATGGGGAGACCCAGCCAGATAGACGGGGTACAAACAATTATTATTATTATTATTATTTATTATTATTATTATTATTATTATTAATATTTTCATTAAGTAGAATAAATGACTAAATAAACTTGCCTTCACAGCCCTGTTTAGGAACGCTTTTAATGTTTGGTGGACTATTGTATTTTAATATTTTGTTGGAAGCCACCCAGAGTGGCTGGGGAAACCCAGCCAGATGGGTGGGGTATAAATAATAAATTATTATTATTATAATCATTTCCTCCCTCATCTTTTATAATAATCCAAATCTTTTACCTCGCCATTGTGTCCAAAACTCACCACTAGATTACAAGTGATATTCTAATCCTACTAACAATTTTAATTGTTTACAGTGGTTCTTAAGATAAGTTATAAATTTTCCCCATTCCTTATTAAAATTTTGGTCTTCCCACTCTCTGATTCATTTTGAATGAATGTATGTACAGTTATACCTCAGGTTGTGAACGCTGCGGGATATGTCTTTTCAGGTTGCTTCCCGAAGTACTGGAAAGGGTTACTTCTGGGTTTCGCTGCTCACGCATGCGCAGACACGCCAAATGACGTCACACGCAAGCGCAGAAGCGGCAAATCGCGACCCGCACGTGCAGATGCGGGTTGCGTTCCTTTCAGGTTGCTAACAGGGCTCCAGAACGGATCCAGATCACAACCAGAGGTACCACTGTAAATGAAAATATTAAATGCTGTGGAACAGTGCCATTATTACATGAGCACTGTTCCACAGCATTTGATATTTTCATTTACATACATTCATTCGAAATAAGATGGGTTTATGAAGCAATTCTATATCCTCCCACCATGCTGACGAAGAGTTCTATGGAACAGTAGTCTATATCCGGAATCACTGTTCAGTGTTGGACACCATATCTGCTGAATACAGAAAGCTTCACAGCTTGTCTGTCACACTACAAAGTCTGGTACCTCGCTTCATTTAAAGATTTCCAGAGACTTTGAGACTAAAGATTTCATTTTGGACCTGTTACGGTTTGAAGGAATTCTATAAAGATTGTCTGTGTAATGAATGATGCTTTGCAGGGTTAAAGAAAAATGATGTAAAAAGTATAAAGAGGTAATCTACATTAGACACAACAATTTAGAAAGAGTAAAATTGTTGAGGTCTTAGAACAAAGGAAGGAAATCAGTATGTATATATGTATGTAATAACTAGATTAGAATGAAGATATGGTTTTATTTGTAGTTGTGTGCTTTTCTTTCTTTTTTCCTTTTTGTGTTTTTCTTCTTGTTTGTATAGTTTTATTTTGGATTTAATGTTTGTAATTTTTGTTGTAATTTTGCATTGAAAATAAAAAAGATTTTTAAAAAAAGATTGTCTATTGCGTATGTACATGGTCATTGCGTTGCCTAGACATTGCTGACGTTCTCTTTGAAACACAGGGGTTTGTTTGGTTACTACAAAATGAAGTAGCAGTAAGGGGACTCACAATGCCCCTTGCCCACTTTGAGACAGTGTCGCCCACATTACCCATCCTTGCCTTTCATTGGTGCTAAATAAGCCGGGCATGGCTTCTCCGCCAAGGGCAGAAGAGACTCCCGGCCCTCAATCCTGGCGTGGTAGGCGTAATCTGGTTTCACGGGCACCGGAGGGAAGACCTGAGAAAGAACCAGGAAGGCACGTTAAGAGGAGCAAGAAAAAGGGGAACCCATGCATGATCTCGAGGTAGCAGCACATCCTCAGGGTACACACACACACACACACACACACACACACACCCTGGCAGAAAATGTCCAGTCTCCAATTGTAAGGCGCTGCAAGGAAGCTGGGTGGCCAATGGCTCTCTGGGACACCTTTGTTAGACATTTAAAAGGCAGAATTCACTGGGGGCTGATGATAATAATAATAATAAATAAATAATTTTATATATACACACACACACACACACACACACGCGCACACACACACACACACACACACACACACACACATATAAAATAAAATGAAATACAGACAAAGGTCCATATAGTTAGCCATGGTTTTCCCAGTAGTGATGTATGGAAGTGAGAGCTGGACCATAAAGAAGGCTGATCGCCAAAGAATTGATGCTTTTGAATTCTGGTGCTGGAGGAGACTCTGGAGAGTCCCATGGACTGCAAGAAGATCAAACCTCTCCATTCTGAAGGAAATCAGCCCTGAGTGCTCACTGGAAGGACAGATCGTGAAGCTGAGGCTCCAGTACTTTGGCCACCTTTGGTCTCCACCTGTTTTCGCTGGAGACGAAGGGATGTAGTCATGCTTTTGCCTTTGTTCTTGACTACGCTGAATAAAGCTGTAAATATGCTCTCTCTGTCTGAATTTTCCATCGTGGATGATTAAACCCTCTGCGGAAAGGTTGTGCATGGGTCTTGGAACATATCTGAGGCTTGTGTCGCTAACTGACTGGTGCTGTTCCATGGGAGACCGGTGATCGTCCAGAGCCAGCTGGAGGGCTGCCTGAAGCCCCCGTCTCCCTGGCAGTATCCCAACAGATCCCCCCTCCCCAGGGTGGCCAAATCCTAATGCACAATATTCCTTATGCACCTGCCTCCCTCGCAATCTGCCCCGCCACGAAAACCGTTGCCACGGAAGCGTGCATTCTGGCGCAGGAAACCCGTCTGAACAGACGGAGCGTGTCCTCCGACAGCCCCCCTTCGTTGGCTCAAACTCACATCGGTATATCGGACGGCAGGGTGAGCCCCCTGCACGGACGTCACCGTCAGCGGCAGCCCCTCCAGTTTCCACAGCTTGCGGCTCAAGTCGTCGTACGAGCGGACGACGCTCAACATGGCCTCCTCACCAGTACCTGCCGGCTGTTCAAGACAATAATAATAATAATAATAATTTTTTTATTTATACTCCGCCCTTCCCGGTTCAGAAAACCGGGCTCAGGGCAGCTAACAACAAATTTAAAACACTTACCGTATTTTTCGCTCTATAGGGCGCACCGGACCATAGGGCGCACCTAGATTTTAAGGGGGGGGGGGATAAAGAAATTTTTTTTTATCCCGCTAGCTGTCTTGGCTTCATTTTTAGCCACGGGCCTGGGGTGGGGGAAGCCCGAGCTTCCCCCGACCCCAGCCCCCAGAACGGGTCCGGGAGCGGCGGCAAGGTTGCGAGCAACTTCGCCTTCGCTCCTGGAGCTTGCTGCTATCCGCAAGCCTTCGGAGACCAGCGGGAACTCCCGCCGCGCTCCGAGGGCTTGCGGATAGCTTCCTGAATCCTGGAGAGCGAGAGGGGTCGGTGCACACTTCAGCGAAAGCCTGCATTCACTCCATAGGACGCACACACATTTCCCCTTCATTTTTGGAGGGGGAAAGTGTGTCCTACAGAGCGAAAAATACGGTAATTGATGCAACAACAAAAATAGCATAAAAGTATAAAATGTGAATAACAATAAATTCAGAATTCAGAAATCAATTTAGGGGAAATCCATCCAATAAAGAGCGCCACCAGCGTCCCCTCCTGACCCTTACATGCTACTAAATTAAAGAGAGATAGCTGGCTGAGGGTAGGGAGGCAGGAGCTGTAGTCCAAAACATTTAAGACTAGTTATATTCATCCAGCTCATAGCAAAAGATCCATCTTGTCTGTGCCTCTCAATCTGCAGCAGGATATCTTTCAAAAGGGCCTAGTTGGGAGAACATGAATATATAAAACATGGCATACGAAATCTGCATTTGTTGGCTGGGGAAAATCTGGAGAAGTGTGAATCGGCCGGAATTTGGGAGACGCTTTTTGTCTAAGTTAGCCAAATGGACAGTCCGAAACCTCAACCTTCCACTTTTGTGTGTGTGAGGGGGGAGATCTGGAAAAGTCTGCCAGTCCCACAGGGAGTGCCCAGATGTGTGGGGAGACCATGCACAACACATGTGGAAAGAGACTGTCTCCCATGCGTGCTTGCAGCGTGAGACCACCAGTTTCTTAGGAGAAACTGGATTTTGGCAGTCTGTTTGACGCTCCCTTAAAGAAAGCAGATCTAAAGGAGATTGCAACGCACTCCCGTCCGAAATATCGCAGCTGAAGGGCGCCACCTGCAGACCAGCCTGGACACAGCCATGTGACATAACCACCTGACCTTTTTATTTTGGCACAATAGACACTGCCCTTTACAGGAGGATAACTACCAAACTAGAGAATACAGTGGACCCTCCGGATAAGAACTTAATTCGTTCCGGGGGTCCGTTTGCACCCTGAAAATTACGTAAATAGAGACGCACTTCCGTGCATGCAGCGATTGAGTGCTTCTGCGCATGCACGCATGGCAAAACCCAAAAGTATACATGTCCGGGGTTGCCGTGGCAGTAACCCAAAGATTCTGTATCTAGGGGGATATGAAAGTAGAGGTACGACTGTATGTTCAATCTGTGAATGCATTTAACAAGTCTGGTTTCTGGGTTTTCCTGAAACAGCAGCTGCATGGGCCTCTCTGATCAGAATGAGGACCATGGCACGAGGGGAACTGGGCTAACCATTCCCCATCACCACATTGATATCTCAAAAACTCTCATCCAAAACCTGCAATTAGTGATTCCAGGAAGTTGCTCTCATAGCTGCCCTTAATGAAAAAAGGCAGACACCAGGAAAACAACAACACAGAATTGAGAGTTGCAATTCTCAATAGTGCTGTAACAGTCAGTCTCTCTTCACAGGGAACCCTGGGAATTGTAGTTCTGTGGAATCTGCTAAACATCTCTCCGCACCCTTAAACTACAACTCCCAGAATACTCTGGGGGAAGACACAAGTGGTATCAATGCACTTTAAACATACGGTGTGGATGTGACGTAAGAGGGCAGAGGCGGCGGCGATCAATGGAACCTGCATTCCCATTTTTTGAAGGGCACAACAATCTATGGCTTTTTAAAAGTGTTTGAGGAGGGGGGTGATCAATTTAATTTTGTTTCATTATGTATTTTGTGTTTTCATGTTGCATTTTTGTGTTGGGAAGCCCTCTGTGATCTTCAGATGAAAGTCGGTATGCACATTTAATACATCCATACATCCATACATACATACAGTGGACGCTCGGGTTGCGAACGTGATCCGTGTGGGATGCACGTTCGCAACCCACAGCGTTCGCAACCTGCAGCAGCGCACAAAGTGCGATTTAGCGCTTCTGTGCATGCACGACCGCCAAAACCCCCAGAAGTATCCCATTCCGGTACTTCTGGGTTTCGATGGTCCGTAACCCGAAAACGCAACCTGAAGCGTCTGGAACCCAAGGTATGACTGTACATACATACATGAATACATACTCTGCCATTCTGCTTCCAAAACAGACTTTCTCAGCTTTCCCTGTGCCCTATGGAACAGATTTCCTGGGGGTGGGGACAAGGGGAGAGGAGAGGAAGGGGAAGTTCCACCGCATTTCAAAGGACATGAATTCACAGAGGAGAAAGAGGCTGCTTACTTCACGCCCCATCTTGATCACAGGCTCCAGCAGGGCACCTGTGTAGCAGATGGAAGTTTCCGGAATGTCCATGTGTCTGCAGAGAGATAAGAGAGTGCCAAACCATGAAAGGCTTTTAAACAGGGAACGCGCTCCTTTCTTCTAATCAACTCTCTTTTCTTTTTTTAAACGAAGTTTCTAATGCTTTTTCAAAGACGTCGATCAAAGCTTGGGAGAGCCTACGTGGGCTCAATGCCTGGTGAAACCACAAAAGTCACAGATGCACCCCGTGAGCAGAGCCTGCAGAACATGGGGTTTCTTTACGCAACGTTCTGTTAGGACAGATAATTCGCCAGCCTTCACAGGATGATGGTGGCATCAGCAACTAAGGAGGTTGCGGTGGCACAGGGGAAGAGCACCAGCTTCCTCTGGGACCAGCCAAAGCTGCCGCCTGAATTGCTTTGGTGGGCTCAGACCATTTGGCCCAGTATCCTGTTGCCAACAGTGGACAGCCCATGAGTACAGGTGGGGCATTTTTTCAGCCAGAGCTTGCAGGAGCTCATTTCCAGCATCTTTCAGGTGGGCGGCATTATAATAAAACAAAGGGGGCGTTCGCGGTGAGTTCTGGCACCTCCTTTTCTAGAAGAATAGCCCTGAGTACAGCCGCTGACAGCAACAGGCCCACCCTGTGGTTTGTCCGAGACTAAAGGTACACTGCTTCAGAAAAAACTTTTGTTCCATTGCCACGGCTAGTGTGGGAGAAGTTAGTGGATCTATGAAATTATGAATACAGTGGACGCTCGGGTTGCGAACATGATCCATGCGGGAGGGACGTTCGCAACCCGCAGCACCGCGTCCGTGCACACACGGGTTGCGATTCAGCGCTTCTGTGCATGCGCAAAGTGAGATTTAGCACTTCTGCACATGCACGAGCGCTGAAACCCGAAGTAACCTCTTCTGGTACTTCTGGGTTCGGCGCAGTGCAAAACCCGAAAATGCACAACCCGAAGCATCTGTAACCCAAGGTATGACTGTAGTATAAGATAAAGGTAAAGGCAAGGGACCCCTGGACGGTTAAGTCCAGTCAAAGGCGATTATGCGGTTGCGGCACTCATCTCGCTTTCAGGCCGAGCGAGCCAGCATTTGTCCACAAGCAGCTTTCTGGGTCATGTGGCCAGCAGGACTAAACCGCTTCTGGAGCAACGGGACACCGTGACGGAAACCAGAGCGCACGGAAACACCGTTTACCTTCCCGCCCCAGTGGTACCGATTTATCTACTCGCACTGGTATGCTTTTGAACTGCTAGGTTGGCAGGAGCTGGGATGAAGCAATGGGAGCTCACTCCATTACAGGGATATGAACTGCTGACCTTCTGATCGGCAAGCCCAAAAGGCTCAGTGGTTAGGCCACAGCGCCACCCGCTTTTACCTTTTATGAATAGTATGAAGAGAGGAGACAGAGGAAATATATTTTGCATTCATAACGCGAGAACGTGGTAAGAAAGTAAGTAGAGCCTGCTGGAACAGGCCAATGGCCTCTCTAGTTCAGCATCCTGTTCCCACCTGTGGGAACCTGCAAGCAGGACTTGAACCCAAGACCATCCTTCCCTCCATTTTCCAGCAACTGGTATTCAGAAGCATCTTGCCTCTGACCGTGGAGGCAGTGCATTGGCTAGTTACTGGTGATATCATTATTTATTGTTCACCCTAACCAGCAGGATCGTCTTATGCAGGGGTCCCCAAGCTAAGGCCCGTGGGCCGGATAAGGCCCGAGGGACTCATTCACCTGGCCCGTGACAACCCCCACCGCCCGCTCTTACCAGCGCTGCGCTGTGCGGCTGCCCACTTCCGGGTCGGAGGAGCACCGGAAATAGCTTGTGCACATGTGCAAGCGTTATTTGCGCATGTGCAAGCGTTATTTCCGGTGCACATCCGGTTCGGAGGCCCGTGCACATGCACACAAGCTGTTTCTGGTGCTCCTCCGACAAGGAAGTGCGCTGGAAATAACGTGTGTGCACGCACTGCCCCACCCTCCACACAATCAGCACTGGAAACATCGGCCTGAGGCGCAGTAAGTTTGCTGACCCATTCTTACGTGCTTAACATGCATGGCAGATGCAAAATATTTTCTTCTATTTCCTCTCTCCATGCTGTCCATAATTTTATAGGTCCACTGCCCACCTGTCTTTATTCGAAGTTAAAGATCTCCAAACGTTTTAGCTTCCCCCCAAAGAATGTATGAATTAAACTTTATTTGCGTCAGCCGTCAGCCATAGCAACAAAAAAATGGCGATATACACAAAATGAAAAGTCGGTTATATAAAACACAGTTTAGGGTCCCGAATCAGCAGTCAAATAGTAGACTTTATTCTGATTGCCCCAGCTAGAAACCTTGCAACCTTTGCAGCCATCTTCTCCTCTTGATCTGCCTGGAGAAGGAAGAGGTGCTCCAACAGCAACACTCCGGTTGTGTTCCAGTGACCAATGGTCTTACACACACAAACCCCTGTTTTCGCCTTCTCTGGGCCCCCAAAACCGAGTCCCCGCATGCTACTCACAACTGCAAGAGGTGGCGAATGATCTGCTCAGAAATGAGTCGCTTCTGGCTCATGTTTGGTGCATCCCACACAACGGCCTCGCAGATGGCGCCATCTTGGAAACGCCTCAGCTCCGATCGCTTCCCCCAAAACTGCCGAAACTCCAGCGCCTGCAGGATCAAACCCCGAGAGAGGGAAATGAAAGGCATTTCTCTCTCTTTCTCATAGGCTTGCTTTGTTTATAGTAAAATGAACATAATTTAATTCATTTTTATATACTCATAAAGTTCTGCAGGACAGGCCCACAATTCCTGGATTTGCACAGATACAAGTACAAGTTAACTTCTGTGCGTTTGGTTTGTGTTTTTCAACCACTGCCAAACAATTAAAGCAGAAACAAAACAAATATAAATGGGGCATTAGGTGCCAATTTGTCTTCACAGGTAACTCTAATCCTGTTTGCAAAGGATGCAGGAAAAAAAATTCTGACCTTCATTCTTTAAAAATAAATTGCATAAAAAAGAGTTTTAACTTTTCAGAAATTTGCAAGAAAGCAAAAGCGGCACTAAATAGGTTTATTTAATTCATTTATTTTTTAAAAAATTGTATACCACTATGTCATAAAAATACATAAAAGTGGTGTACAGCAATAAAAACATAAAATAATACAATAAAACCATGAAACATCTAAAAACAGGCATCCATTAGCCACTGTGAATGTCTTCTTAATCGTCTGCATAGGCCTGGCAGAATAGAAAAGCTTTGAGCAGGTGCAAAAATTTGGCACAGAAGGTGCCTGCTGACTCTCCAGTGGCGGAGAGGTCCAGGGGTCCAAAATATCATTTTTCAGCAAGCAACAGAGGTGTGCCAAACAGGACAAGGAAGTTTCTTTCATGAATAATCGTGCCTTGAAAAAGTCCCATTGAAATCAAAGTGAGCACTTTCACCACCAATGGGTTGTGCCTAATAATAATAAGAAGAAGAATAATTTTATTTATATCCCATTCTCCCCAGAGCTCAGAGCCAGGCTCAGAGTGGCTAACAGTAAAGTCATACAGCATTCAAATCAATTCATTATAAAATCAGTTCAAATCAAATTGATGGCAACCATTGGGCTAGAAGTTCTGTGAGGATTACCAAAGGAGGGAGTCAGACTGTGCCCTGGCCAAAGGCCTGGTGGAACAGCTCTGTCTTGCAGGCCCTGTGGAAAGATTTCAAGTCCCGCAGGGCCCTAGTCTCTTTTGACAGAGCGTACCACCAGATCGGATCCACAGCCGAAAAGGCCCTGCCTCTGGTTGAGAGCCAGTCTAACCTCCCTGTGGCCTGGGATCTCCAAGATGTTTTTGTTTGAAGACCTTAAGGTCCTCCGTGGGACATACCAGGAGAGGCGGTCCCGTAGGTACTAGGGTTCTAGGCCATATAGGGCTTTAAAGGTTAAAACCAGCACATTAAACCTGACCCTGTACTCCACCGGGATCCAGTGCAGCTGGTACAGTGGTGCCTCGCAAGACGAAATTAATTCGTTCCGCGAGTTTTTTCGTCTAGTGAATTTTTCGTCTTGCGAAGCACGGTGTCGGAAAATTTTTGGAAAAGCTTCAAAAATCACCAAAAACCTCAAAAAAGGCTACCACACCGCGTTCTATGAGTTGCTCCTCGAAGTCAAGTCGCAACTGTATTAACGGTGTTAAGAAAAAGGAAACAAACTTGCAAGACGTTTTTGTCTTGCGAAGCAAGCCCATAGGGAAAATCGTCTTGCGAAGCAGCTCAAAAACCGCAAAACCCTTTCGTCTAGCGAGTTTTTCGTCTTGCGAGGCATTCGTCTTGCGGGGCACCACTGTATTGCACCGGGCAAATGTGATCCTGTAAGGAGTCTCGCCGCAACATTCTGCACCCGCTAGAGTTTCTGGGTCAGTCTCAAGGGCAGCCCCACATATAGTGAGTTACAATAATCCAGTCTGGAGGTGACTGTCGTGTGGATCACAGTGGCTAGCTCAGGGCGAGAGAGGTAAGGAGCCAACTGCTTAGCTTAGCTTGGCAAAAGCGTAGGCAGAAAATCTCTTAGGCACCCAATAATGGGGACCAGAGCACTCTTCCAGTCTCACCTCTGGTCTGTCTCCTCCAGGTCCCCTCTCTAGGATGCTGCCTGCAAATTCAAGGTTCAGCAGAAGTCCAAATGACAGGGACCCAAAGTCTTTGTGTTTTGGGGGATCAGCGTCAATTGGCCACTGGGCGAAAAAGATGAGACAAGCAAAATTAGATGGGCCACACTGGAAAGATATATATAGATTTTATTACGGTCCCAGACCAGTTTTACATACCATACTAAACGAGCATAAAACACAACAGAATTAAGTTTGGATTAACAATCAAATATAACAATAAACAATACGAATATGGCAGCAATTAGAAATGTGGTTTAGGTCTTAAGTCTCTAAAATATTATCTAGGCTTTGCATCTGAGGTCTTAAGTCTTTGTAATTGAACAGCTTGTTCCCTGAGTTTTATGGCAGCCGCGCAGAATTTGGCCACCCTTAGCGTGATCTCTGGATCCTTGTCCTCTAACAAGGATTTTAAGCATTTAGGTTCAAACCCACTTGGAATTTTCCGTATAACAGGGTAACCAAGCATATATCCTCATAAAAACGACGTCGAAGCAAGACATAACATAAATAAGATGTGAAATTGACTTGCAAGGTGGTGTGTTGTTTGATACGAGATTGAGTGTTTGGGGGAGGAGGCTTGTTTAATTTCACTGTACACAGGTTGTACTATGACAATAAATATTATTATTATTATTATTATGTATTATTATTATGACATTAAGGACGCGGGTGGCTCTGTGGTTTAACCCACAGAGCCTAGGACTTGCCGATCAGAAGGTTGGCGGTTCGAATCCCCGTGACGGGGTGAGCTCCCGTTGCTCGGTCCCTGCTCCTGCCAACCTAGCAGTTCAAAAGCACATCAAAGTGCAAGTAGATAAATAGATACCGCTCCGGCGGGAAGGTAAACGGCGTTTCCGTGCGCTGCTCTGGTTCGCCAGAAGGTAGTTTATAAATAACTATCAATCAATCCAATCTTTACTACGGCTCCAGAGACCCCAGCAAATCGTTACATAAGCACCATGACTGGACCAATGGTCAGACAGTCCCTATCTCCAGGTTAAACTACCATTTTGTTCAGGACTTAAAGATAGGGACTCATTGGTTCTGGCAACCACCGATAAAAACTTCTGACCACTGCTAATGTTCTAGCGCTCTGTCCGGTCTTAACCCACAGGCAACCTCGACCACAGTGAGCCTCTGATTTTCCTGGGATCAGATACCAGCACAGCGATAAGCATCAGGTCAGCTCCTGACTCTGCTCATACTTTGCACAGCTGCAGCAAGATATGTTGTGTATAGAATCGATGTCCTGAGCACACGATGTCAAAGTCTGTCCTGGTAGGTGTAATCTCTTCTCAATGTCCTGCCATCCAACACTGCAGCAGGAAATGACGTTTAGTCTGGCTTCTGGTGTAAAGCCGTCGATAATTTGAGTACTGTCAGGTTTTGAAATGTAAATATAATATAAATATCATCACCACCATCATGGTCTGAAATAAAACTTACTGGTTGAGTCTGGGGCAGCGCATGTGTCAGCAGCAGGATCCTCCGAGACAACCCTCGTTCCAGCAAGCCGATGAGGAAAGGCAGAGTCGCTGCCACGTAATTCCCGCCGCGATCCATCAGCTCGTTGAGCAGTTGCATCTTCCTGCAGGCCGCCTGCAGCTTGGAGACGTGCTTGAGGCTGAGGAGAGAGCAGTCGGGAAGAAGAAGAAGAGAAGAGTTTGGATTTGATATCCCGCTTTATCACTACCCGAAGGAGTCTCAAAGCGGCTAACATTCTCCTTTCCCTTCCTCCCCCACAACAAACACTCTGTGAGGTGAGTGGGGCTGAGAGACTTCACAGAAGTGTGACTGGCCCAAGGTCACCCAGCAGCTGCATGTGGAGGAGCGGAGACTCAAACCCGGTTCCCCAGATTATGAGACTACCGCTCTTAACCACTACACCACACTGGGAGAGAGAAGTGCAGTCACTGCTGGGTCCACAAATAAGCAACTGTGCCCAGGCTGGGCAAACACAGCAGTGGAGGAGAAATAAATTCTCAGTGCTGAACCAACTCAAATTCTTCTCCAAGAAAGAGACGATTCGGCAGCTCAGTATGAGCAAGTCGACCCAAGTCAAGTCAGATTATTAATTCTTATTTATTTAGTTACGTATTACTTATTTTCTTTTTTTGTATATAATTTTTATTAACTCTTCTGTTTTACAATTTAGAACATTCATTTAAACAACCTTAAAATATCAATGACTTCCATTCTTCTCTTCCCATGGTTCATTTTGCATAGCGTAAATCCCCGCATATTTTATATAAACTAAACCATTCAGTATTCCATTATTACTTCCATCAAAACTGTTGAATTTATCTTAATGCTGCCGACGTTTCCAAGTGTACACAATTCCCCCCATATATTCAAGAAACATTTTCCAATCTTCTTTAAACAAATGTTGCTCTTGTTCTCTTATTCTGTAAGTTAGATCCGCAAGCTGCACAAATTCCATCAGTTTAAGTTGCCATTCTTCTTTGGTTAGGACCTCGCTCGTTTTCCATTTTTGTGCTAACAAAACATAGGCAGCCGTAATGGCATACATAAATAACCTTTTTTTGACCTTTTCCTGTCTAAATTATCACCCCCAAAAGGGCTCTGGTTTTTACTAAAATACATTTTTTTAAAAGAGTGTTGGACTAGGACCTGGGAGGCTTGGGGTTCGAATACCCATGCGGCCACAAAACTCACTGGGTGACCTTTGGCCAGTCACCGTATCTCAGCCCAACTTCTCTCACACGCTTGTTGTAAGGAGGAAATGAGGAGGACGAGGAGAACCAGACAGGTCCCCTTGTGCTCCTTCGAAGAAAAAGTAGTGTGTAAATGTAAGAAAAAAAGAAATATTCTCGTGGAGAGAACGTACTGGAACACGTGGTCAAAGGCTCGGATCAGAGGCTTGGGGGTCATGAGCAGCAAATGGAACCCATCCATCGTTTTGTCGTCCAGAATCTCCATAGAGTGCTTGGCTTCAAACTGGATCTAAGGGAGAGCAAAACCGCACATATTTAGGCAAGCCGAGAAATAAGCCAACACCCCAAGTGTCAATTCCAGGCCACAATGTAGTTGCCTCCTTTTTTCTCTCGAGGCATCAACTCATCTTGGTTGGGGGTACCCTACAAAACCACTCCACCACCCCCCAAGCGGCCGGTGCAAACACTCTTGGCCCGTTCGCTTCCCTGGTCCATTTGCAAAGAGCAAAGCAGAGCAGCAAGTAGACAATAACACGAAACCCGGGTTCGAATTCCCCATTCGCCCAAGTCACTCTCCCGTTCTCAGCCTACCCCAACAAGTCTGCAGTGCCAACAACGGTGAAAACACTGGCATGCCGTCTGTTTTTACACTAGGCTGAATTTCTTATATATATATATAATTCTTTTTCCATATTGAAAGTTAAATCTGCTACTCAAGTTATATTCCAGTTCAACAAAACTAGTGACTTCCACTCACCCAACATCAATATTTCTAACTCAAATTACATAAAATTGCTTTTTAAGGTTCTGTCTTATCTAATTTCATCCTCTTTAACCCGTTTCTTAATATATCCTGCTATTTTCTTACACTTCAAACCCTGCTTTGGCCTTTGCATAGGGGAAATAAGTTTTTAAACAGATTAGAGTGAGTTTCCAGAATTCTTTAAAGGATTCTAAATTTGTGTCTCTTATCATTGCCATCAGTTTTGCCATCGCTGAAAAAACCCCTCATTTTTATCAACCGTTCTTCCTTTGAGGGTGTTCAATTTCGGTGAAATATTGCTTTGTTGTATTTTTAATTCTGTTTCTCACTCCAGGATTATGCAAACGGCGAAGAGCTGGGTATAAGTGACATGACTACAAGGGGCGGTTTTCCAATGAATTTCTTCTGCTAGTAACAAGGCCTTTTGGCTGCACAGAGAAACTTCCTCTCCTCTCTTCCAGTAAATCTGTAGTGGCTGGGGCTGATAGGAAAAATTTGGACGGCACATTTGAAAGCTGGGCTAAACAACGACCTCATTTACCTGCTTATATGTGGAGGCCGTCATGTCTGCGCACAGGTTGACCAACCCAGAAGGGTCCACAAAGACCACCTGGAACGCTGCGTGGAAGTCCGCCAGGGTAGGCTAGAGGAAGAGGACAAAGCAAAAGGCAGAACAAGGAAAATGCTCCTTTGAAACTTAGGTTTATGCAATGGCTGATGCTTGCAAAATTCTGGAGAAAAGAAGCATTGGCATGTATAACTAAATTTTGGGGGAGAAATTAAAAATGCCAGATGATCATATTATCCTAAATCACATATCCATTATACGGGACAAAATAAAAAAATTCCTTCCAGTAGCACCTTAGAGACCAACTAAGTTTGTTATTGGTATGAGCTTTCGTGTGCATGCACACTTCTTCAGATACGGGGTTTGACACCTGGTCAACATAGATGGGCTCTTTGCACCCTCAGGTCTGCCAAAAGACTTGATATTGATTCACTGGAAAGATAATCTTTCTATCTATACCTGAAGGAGCGTCTCCACCCCCATCATTCAGCCCAGACACGGAGGTCCAGCTCCGAGGGCCTTCTGGCGGTTCCCTCCCTGTGAGAAGTGAAGTTACAGGGAACCGGGCAGAGGGCCTTCTGGGTAGTGGCACTTGCCCTGTGGAACACCCTCCCATCAGATGTCAATAAAATAAACAACTATCTGACTTTTAGAAGACATCTGAAGGCAGCCCTGTATAGGGAAGTTTTTAATGTTTGATGTTTTATCATGTTTTAATATTCTGTTGGGAGCTGCTCAGAGTGGCTGGGGAGACACAGCCAAATGGGCGGGGTATAAACAAATTATTACTATTATTATTACTACTACTACTACTACTACTACTATCCTTTGATCAATGGATAGAAGATACGGCAACTCTTATAACATACAAAGAGATTGCTTTTGGACACAGATTGTGTATGGATAAATATGATGACAGTACAAGTGCATTTATAAAATCTATAGTGGCGTGTTAATAATTGTATGCTCGATGGATGATAACCTTACTTATATACCTATACATTGTGTTGTATTCATTTTTGTTTTGGGTCCCCCCCCCCATTTCTTTTATTTGTCCACTGAAAACCTTTCCATAAAATATAAATATTGAGATTTAAAAGGCGTCGCAGGCTGAAAAGCAGGTGGGAGTAGCAGCTTCTAGCAGGGAAAGTGAATGCACAACCTCACAGGGTTGTTGCGAGGATACAAAGGGATGAGGGGATAACCATGCAAGGCACCTTGAGCTCCTTGGAAGGAAGGTGGAATACAGCTGTAATAATAAACAACCCCCATCGCCTCTGCCCTAACCAGGAATTCCCAGTACCCCAAAGCTCACACTCTTACCAGTGAGGAAACTCCATCCTTTGAAAGGCTGATTCCAGATGTACTGAGGTCTGTGGCAGCTGGAAGGAAGACAGACATGTGGGGGGAAAGATCATGCAATTACTCAGAGATTGTGAAACAATAAAGACTATCGTCTCCTATTGTATTATTATTCTGCCAAATGGGTGGCTTGGTTTGTGATCAAGGGAGGAAAGGCAGGGAGCCCCACAAACGAGCTCAGATCTAAGCACCTCCCACCTCAGAGCCAAAGCGCACTGGGCTTACCTAAGAACTGAAGGCTGTTCCTCAACACCTGGTATCCACTCATCACTTTGTTGATCTTGTGCTCCTCCAAGAGATACGCCACCAGCATAGAAGCCATGAAGCCATTGAAGCACCCAAGGCCCTGGGGGGGGGGGGGAGGGAAGAAATGGACAATACACAAAAGTTGGCACAAGGTGCTCTTCTGCTGCAGATTCCCAAATCCTCCAGCCACCCAGTGCTAGAAAGCTAGGAGCTAAATGGCACTCTGAATCTAGGTTATGGGTGCAAGAACAGAATGTCTAGGCATGCTTTTTTACAACAAGAATACAAATCTGAAATCGAATGAACCGCAGCTAAAATATTGTGTTCATTTTTCACATGGTCTAGTCCTTCCCCTGAAGACTGCAAAAACCAAAGCCATGCTTCCCCTGCCTGCCCCCCTAATATTCTTAAGAGGATCTCTTTTCCAGTCTTCAGAGCGTGGCTGGAAGTGGGGAGGCAGAAAACGGTCCTCCTTTCATTCCAGCAGTGGCAGTTTTAATCTGAAATCTTAGGCGCAGCAATGCAACAGAGTAACCGAGGAGGGGGTGGGGACTTTCGCTCCATTGCTTTTCACCTCCACTGATTGAGAGGCGCCCCCCAGAATTCGGCATCCGGGTGCCCCGCACCCCTTGCACCCCGCTGGGTGAAGACGGTCCTGTTTAGGAATGTAGCCTGCAGCTGCTCGAGACATTTTTAGCATTTTTAGCATAGTGCAAAGGGATCACAACATTTAGCAGATTTTGCATACCTGGTGTCCTCCAGAATTCTTGGAACTACAACACCCACGGGCCTTAGCCAGCACCACCATTGTAACCTCAAATATTTGATTGCAACCCCAAATATTTATTTATTAAATTTGTATACTGCCCTATACCTGTAGATCTCAGGGCAGTTGACAACGCGGTCTTGTCACAACAGCCAGGCTGCTCAAGAGTGAGGAAGCAAGGAGGCCCAGGTCTCCCCCCATTGTGCCCGGGCCCAGTTACCTGGTGAAGCCCACGTTGGCGCAGCCACACTTTGAGGAGAGACACCCCGTCTCGCATGCCTTGGAAGTCATGGGCCGCCTCCGAGAGGAAGAGCAGGCTGGACTCCAGGACCAGGTCCCACAAAATGGAGTTGTTGTAGTGTGGCGTCGGTGGCTCCGAGGCTCCTAGGAAAGGCAGAACAGGAGATCACCACTGGTCCATGTCGAACAAATATGGCGGATTCTGTCAGCTGCGGCCTTCTTGTCTGGCATAAAACCACCCAGAACCCAACAACAGAAACACAACATCCAAGTCTAAAATGGAGACACTCTGGCTAACTTTCTGTGTAGCTTAGAAGGGGGGTTATTAGGCAGGAATACACAAGTTCATCAAAGGTTTATATATTCATTAATAAACTTTATTGCACTAGCCAAAGGCCATGGCATCGTTCACAGGGGGAACAAAAGGAAAACAGCAATAACCAGAAAAACATTTTAAAAAATTTCCTCCCTAGAGAAGCAAGATTGGCCTCCTCCTTGCTCTCCTTCCGCAGGCAGGTAGGAACTGGGTTGCTTTTAACGAGGAGGCTGCTGCCATGCTACTTTTGTTGCAATGGGCTGCAAGTTTTTAATCTATCTTATCTATCCATAGTTAATTCTATTAATGTTTAACTGTTTGGTTTTTTTGGTGATTGTTTTTTCTCCTACGTTTTTAGCTGTTCCTATTTGTCTTCTTCTTTGGCGATCACTCGTAGCCAAGTAAGATTGAAAAAAAGTTCAACTGTCTTTTATGACCGCTGGGGGGTGACCCCACTGGGCGCAGTAATCCACTCAGGGGAAAAGGGAGGCAGACTTTGTTTAGGGCGCCTTTTCTAGCCCCTCCCCCTTTTCGGGGTGAGCAGAGTGGATCCTAAAAAGGGCTGCTCAGTCATGGATACAGCTGCCGAGCTGCTCAACTGCCTCGTTCCTCGAGTCGGAACGACTGAATCTGTATCCACCGCCCATGTGCCGGTTCATGACTAGGGGCTTCCAGATTTCACGATCCTGCCTCCCTTACCATTTGCTGATCGCCATGGGACTTTTGGGGCTTGGGATGGGCTTTTGGAAGATTCCTGTGCGTTAATTTGTCTTATGTGTGTAGATCAGTAATAATAATAATAATTTAATTTTTTTCCCCCACCCATCTGGCTGGGTTTCCCCAGCCACTCTGAGTGGCTACCAACAAAGATGAAAAATACATTAAAATGTCACACATTAAAAACCGCCCTGAACAGGGCTGCCTTCAGATGTCTTCTAAATGTCAGGTAGTTGTTTATCTCTTTGACAGCTGGTGGGAGGGCGTTCCACAGGGCAGGTGCCACTACCGAGAAGGCCCTCTGCCTGGTTCCCTGTAGGTTTGCTTCTCGCAATGAGGGAACTGCCAGAAGACTCTCAGAGCTGGACCTCAGTGTCTGGGCAGAACGATGGGGGTGGAGACGCTCCTTCAGGTATACTGGGCCGAGGCCGTTTAGGGCTTTAAAGGTCAACACCAACACTTTGAATTGTGCTCAGAAACGTTACACACAGTGTAAGCCTCCTTGAGTCCCTGTCAGCAGGAAAAGGCGGTGTATAAATAAGCATAGAATAATAACAATACCTGCGACAGGGGAGCGCTTCTCCGTGAACCAAGCCGTGCGGACGTTGTTCTTGTTGGGATGCAGGCGACTGGTCTTGAAGACGCCCTGGGCAGGGCAGGCGTAGAGGCGGACAGTCACCAACTTCATGTCTTTCCCTGGGAAAACCCCACAAAGCAGGGTGAGCAAAAGGGAAGCCAGGAGAATCAATAAGGAGAAGGCACCCAGACCAAGACTTTTAAGAACATCTCCCTCCCTCAAGGCATGCCTCTCTACCTATAAGGCCGTTGGCAGACCGGACGTCTCCCCTCCTGCTACGCTGCTAACTTCCTTACTGGTTAGCTTTGCGGTTTTATTTCATGATTCCAGTATAATCTTGCACTTGCGTAATGTTTTCTGAATTTACGCCTGACCATTCAGATATGGGCAAGCTATGCAAGTAACAGAGACAGTGTGGAGTAGTGGTTGGAGCATCAGACTAGGACCTGAGACCTGGGTTTGAATCCCTGCTTGGCCACAGGGTTGTTGGGAGTATTCAAGGAGGAGGAGGAGAACCCTGTACACCACCTTGGGTTTCTTTGGAGGAAAAGGTGAACGATAAATGCAACTGAATAAATAAACCAGAATTAACGAATACAGTCATACCTCGCGTTACAGACACTTCTGGTTGCTTTTTTTGGGCTACGGACCGCCGAAACCTAGAAGTACCGGAATGGGTTACTTCCAGGTTACAGCGGTCGCGCATGCGCATAAGTGCTAAATGGCGCTTTGCAGATGCGCTGCTGCGGATTGCGAACGTGCATCCCGCACGGATCACGTTTGCAACCCGAGCGTCCACTGTAATAACCTGCCCCCAGTCTTGCAGCACTCGCTCACTCTAACCCATTTTAAGATGCAGCCTCGTGCAATCGAAAACTGCAGCTGCCTCTTACATTGCAGCATCACACTCCTGCTCAGCCCACCAGAACCCATCACTTACTTTTCTGCCCAAACCTGGTGCTCTGTTTACAGGGAGACAAAGAAAAAGGAAGGGGGTCTGGATCAAGGAGCAGGCGGAAAGCCACCCTCACCTTGTGGCTGCAGGAGCACGACCGGCTTCAGGTGGTTGCCGTTGACGTAGGCAAACTTCACGGCCCCGAAGAGCTTCTTCTTGGCCAGGTGCTGAGCCAAGCAGGCCAGGTAGAGAGCCCTCTTGCGGTGGTAGCGCTGGTTTAGGTGGTCCTTGTCCTGGAAGATCTCCTAACAGCAATTAATGGTAATAATAATAATATTAATAAATTTTTATTTATACCCTGCCCTTCCCAGTTTAAAAACCGGGCTCAGGGAGGCTAGCAGCAAAATAAAACATTGATTAAACCGCGACTTAAAAACAGCATAAAGTACAACATAAAATGCAGCATCAATATCAATAAAATTCTAAAATTCAGGGGTCATGGGGGGGAACCCAGTCAGTAGGCATCAAATGATCACCAGGGCTAACTGGCCAAGTTGGTCCTACTAGGGCCAGCAAGAGGGATTGCCCCATAAAATATATACCCTTACAAAAAGGTTTTTGTGAAACTTGCCTTCAACAGAAATTATTATTTAAAAAATGAAAAAATTGTCCAGTAGCACCTTAGAGACGAACTAAGTTTGTTCCGGGTATAAGCTTTTGGTATCTGAAGAAGCGTGCATGCACACGAACGCTTATACCCGGAACAAACTTAGTTGGTCTCTAAGGTGCTACTGGACAATTTTTTTATTTATTTCGACTGCGTCAGACCAACACGGCTACCTACCTGAATCTAGAAATTATTATGCCAATGTTGGTGTGCACTGCACACACACAAAACCTATTGCAAATTTTGGTCCTGTGGAATGAAGACGATGCTGAAGCTAAGTAGCTCGTGGTCTGCCTCTCACTTGTGCCAGCGCCACTAACCTTGGGCATCGTCACTGCCACATCCACATTGACCTCGGGCTTGATGCAGGTGCCCAGCAGGTAACTCCCCACCACTTTCACCTCGGCAGGGGGAAGGAAGCGAAAGTGGCCCTTGACGCAGAAAGGAAGCTGCTGGAGAGGGACCTTCACCCCACTGGGGAGCCAGGACTGATTGGTGATCTAGGAGGAGGCAGGGTAGAAGAAAAAGGTTAAAGCACACCCTGAGTACAGGACGGGGCCCGCCAGTGAAAAAGGATCTCAGTGAACAGAGCTAGGAAAAGCCTCTCTTTTTGGCAGCCAGGATCTTAATTGCAAGAAATTGGAAAAGTGACATAACACCTACGATAAATGAGTGGCAGGTCCAAATGATAGAATATCTACAGATGGCCATGACAGGGAGAATTAGAGGTTATCCAAAACAGAAAGTACAGAAAGAATGTAAAATCTTTAAGGAGTATTTGGAAAAGCATTACAATAAGAAATATCTCTTGGCAGAAACAGAGTTATCCTTCTACAACAACAAATGTAATGTTTTTTGATATCTGATGAAAAGAAAGAAAGAAATACAATAACTTGGAATTGTGTGTGAAAAAATTGTAGAAACAATACTACAATGAGTCTTATCGGAAGCCAAATGTGTTTGTTTTCTTTTTCTTTTTCCCCCTTCCCCTGCTTCCCCCTTCTTCCTCTTCTCTTTTTTTTGTGCCTCCTTTCTTGTTCTTTCTCTTTTTGATATGTTAAGAAAGAGATAAAGAGATCAAAGTGTAATATGAAAACTTCAGTAAGTTAAAAGTGATGTGTAATTTTTCTATTACTATTTATATATTATTAAAATTGGTTAATTGTAATGAATTGATGTAGCAACTACTGTGGTTTTTTCTTGTTATTGTTTAATTCTAAATAAAGTATTATTCTTTTTAAAAAATGAAAAGCCTCTTTTTGCCAGAGACCCTGGGGAAGAAGACACTAACAGTTATGAGTGTACAATGCTGGGACAAGGGTCCATTTCAGTGGCCACATTTGAATACCATGATAAATTATGGTTTGCTGTGTAGGAAATGAGTCTGGTGCCGTAGGCACACATGCACGTTTAAGCTCTCCTTCTCCACTGGGGTAGCAGCAAGGAGACTGGAAGCTCCTACTTCTGGGGAGCTACAGTTCAGTGTTACATCTATACCCTAAACCGCAGCTAATCTTAAGTATGACGTGTTGAAAGAAGCCAGCTTCATGATCCGTGCTGTGAAGTTAGCTTGTTTCAAACAAACCACTGTTACGATTAATCACAGTTTGTTGGGTTTAAACAAAACTGCTAGGATTGCAGCAAGTGTTTACACCTCAACCACAAAGGCCACCATCCTAAATGCACTTATTAGGGAGCGAGCCCCATGAAACTTAAGGGGGCTTACTTCCGAGTGAACATGCATAAGATTGGGTTGTAAAACTACATGTATCTTGGACATACGTCTCTCTGCGGGGTCTCTGGGACTGTGCTCAGCAAGGCATTGATTTCGCGGAGGAAGGAGTCGATTTTCTGCTTCCTCTTCTCCTTGAGAGTCACCTCTTTTAAAAGCTCCTCGATCTACACAGGGGAGAAAGGAGAGACGCCACTTGCCACATTAAAAAAAATACAACTTAACTGCTATTACTAACAACCCAAAAGTGAGGTAACGGGGCATTTTGTAATACGATATACTGTATAAAACAATAAATAATGGTGAGACAAGATGGAATGAAAGAAGGGTTTAAGAGGAATTGAGAAGGACGTAAAACAGAACAGCAGAAAGAAAGCTTTGCAGGAGAGGACAAGAAGACTGGCATTTACGCAGAATGGGGCAGGAAGGTCAGTAAGGCAGCGTAGTTGGAGAACCGAGGGAGAAAGAGGAGTCTTGAATATTCAGCCGGTGACTGAAGCCAGTGCTAGGCAAGATCTTAGAAGCACTGAACAGGAGAAAGTTAATGATTCTTTGAACACACAGAAAGAATTGGAAGCCCATAGACTGAAGCAAAATTCTGGGTGCCATGCCAGTGCTTGCAAGTACAAATAATGAAGGGCTTTGTCTTAGTTACAGGAACCCTTCTTCCACAACACCTGCCCACAAAAGGATTAACCCTGCTAAGTTAGCCTGACCTGCAAGCGCAGAAGGTTGGAGTGAAACAGGCTCTCTGTTTCCTTCAGGCGTGTCAGCTCCTCGTTGGTGGGCGGCTTGTATAGCTCAGCCTTGCAAAGCTTCACCGGTTGCAGGATGCCCTCAGCAACAAGAGACCTTTTCTTCCCTCGTGGTCTCCCTTCCTTAGCAAGAGCTTCCCCCTCTACTCTCTTGGAGTCTCCCACGCCTGCTTCTCTCTCTGCATCTTCAGACATCTGCAGAGAGGCCAAAGGAAAACAGATCAGCCTTGAAAGTAACCCCACAGTCTTTTTATTTTAATTTTTTGGTACAAGCCTGCTAAGAAGTTCGTTTGAATAAGCAGGACCTTATTGAATTGTATTGTTTTCATGAATCGCCTTGTCAGAATACTTCCAACTCCCCAACGGATGGGTAAAGAGAAGAGAATGGGTCTGGGGACACCTACTACTATAGCCATTACTCAGCCCAAGAGAAGATAAACACAATCAGTCCCTGGATAAGAATGTGGGGTGAAGGGTAGGGCCGGATTTAGGTTTGACGAGGCCCTCAGCTACTCAAGGTAATGCGGCCCTTTATATGTCTAGCTGCCCTTTGTCAACAACAGATTGTTGCTGTTTTTTGTGTTCAATATATGCTATATGGTAACTTATGGACCAAACAGGTAGCTAAAACCATTTGCACATAACAAAATATGTATTCGATCAAAGTAATTGATACAGAAATGAGCAAACCAGTGATATTTTAGGGAGCAGGCTAGCAGGCAGGGCCCATTACTTACATCATAGGAGCCTACAAAACACAAAACACTGTTGCTGCATGTAGGTTTTATTTTATTTGTTTTTACCTTATATTCTGGAAATGTGCATCCAGTTTTTTTTTCCTTTAAATTTTTTTGGGGCCCCCAAGAGAGTGGGGCTCAAACTATACCTTGCTTAGCTTATACGTAAATCTGACACTGCTTACGGGACTACTTACACACTCTCTACAACGAAAAAGTTACATTGAACCCCAAATGCTATATAACTGGGCATTTTTGTAATATTTTTGTTCATCTTCTCTGTTGTTGCTTCAGTTTTCTGTAAATCCCTTAGAGATATGTTTTAATATAATAAGCAATATAAAAAGTAAGTCGACATCATTTTTTTTCTCCTCTCTCTAATACCATCAAAGTAAACCAAGGACGTGATATCTTATTTTTTTATCCGACTTCTTCACTTAGATTGCTGTCTAAGTTCCGTTATTCAGTTACTTAATTTATTTTATTGATCAGTTTTGCAAGCCGCCCTTCACGCGGAGATCACAGGGCGGCTCATAACAGAAAATGTTATTCCTTCCCATTCTACAGCTTTAGGATCTCCCTCAGGATCACGCGCAACCCCCCATTACACGGTACCCACCTTCTGCTTGGTCCCTCCTGCATTCCACGTGGGTGGAACTAAGCAAAGCCACGCGGAATCCGGAGCAGCCGCCGCTCACTTCCGGGTGGCTCCTGATTGGACGAAACAGCCCAAACGCAGGAAGGAGGGAAAAAAAGAAGGAAACCCCATCCAATTGGAACAAAGAGGGCCGCGAGGCCACGCCCACGGTCGACGCGCACGCGCCTAGCGCCTTCCGAACAGCAGTCTCTATCGACGCGCGACTCCGTGGAACGGAGAGATAAGAAAAGATGAAGAGGAGCCCATCTCGCTGATTGCGGGGGGAATTCCGGGTACGCATAGGAGATCCTTCCCCACCGCAAAGAACAGAAATCAGTAGCAAAAATTCTGCTTTTAGTATTGCTGTGATTGGGTCGCACGAGGCGTCGGCAGGGTCTGTCCAGGTTCAGAAGACCCTAAAAGGAGCTATTATTATTATTATATTATATATAATATAATATAATATATTGCTGTTGTTGTTATTTTAAATTATTATTATTATTATTATTATTATTATTTGTAAGAAGTTCTTGTAGCAGAGGCGCTAGGCTGCTCTGAGCTTTCCCTTCTCCTCCCGCCGCTGAAAGGGTCCCAACCAGAAATAGGAAGTTACTTTACAGTACTTCCCAAATGCCTGTTGTCTTTGTCCATGGAGTTTTCTTGGCAGGGATACTGGAGTGGCTTGCTGGTTCCTGCTCCAGGTGGATCACGTTTGGTCAAAACTCTCCACTATGACCTGTCCATCTTGGGTGGCCCTGCATGGCATAGCTCATAGCTTCTCTGAGTTATTCACGCCCCTTCGCCACGGCAAGGCAGTGATCCATGAAGGGGTACCAACAACTGATTGGTTCAAAATCTGGAAAGGAGTACAGTGGTACCTCGGGTTACATACGCTTCAGGTTACAGACTCCGCTAACCCAGAAATAGTGCTTCAGGTTAAGAACTTTGCTTCAGGATGAGAACAGAAATCGTGCTCTGGCGGTGCAGCAGCAGCGGGAGGCCCCATTAGCTAAAGCGGTGCTTCAGATTAAGAACAGTTTCAGGTTAAGTATGGACCTCCGGAACGAATTAAGTACTTAACCTGAGGTACCACTGTACAACAAGGCTGTATATTGTCTCCTTGCTTATTTAACTTATATGCAGAATTCATCATGCGAAAGGCTGGGCTGGATGAATCCCTAGCCAGAATTAAGATTGCCGGAAGAAATATCAACAACCTCAGATATACAGATGACACAACCTTGATGGCAGAAAGTGAGGAGGAATTAAAGAACCTTTTAATGAGGGTGAAAGAGGAGAGCGCAAAATATGGTCTGAAGCTCAACATCAAAAAAACTAAGATCATGGCCACTGGGCGCATCACCTCCTGGCAAATAGAAGGGGAAGAAAGGGAGGCAGTGAGAAATTTTACTTTCTTGGGCTCCATGATCGCTGCAGATGGTGACAGCAGTCACGAAATTAAAAGACGACTGCTCCTTCGGAGAAAAGCAATGGCAAACCTAGACAGGATCTTAAAAGGCAGAGATATCACCTTGCCAACAAAGGTCCGCATAGTTCAAGCTATGGTTTTCCCAGTAGTGATGTATGGAAGTGAGAGCTGGACCATAAAGAAGGCTGATCGCCAAGGAATTGATGCTTTTGAATTATGGTGCTGGAGGAGGCTCTTGAGAGTCCCATGGACTGCAAGAAGATCAAACCTATCCATTCTGAAGGAAATCAGCCCTGAGTGCTCACTGGAAGGACAGATCCTGAAGCTGAGGCTCCAATACTTTGGCCACCTCATGAGAAGAGAAGACTCCCTGGAAAAGACCCTGATGTTGGGAAAGATGGAGGGCACAAGGAGAAGGGGACGACAGAGGACAAGATGGTTGGACAGTGTTCTTGAAGCTACCAGCATGAGTTTGACCAAACTGCGGGAGACAGCGGAAGACAGGAGTGCCTGGCGTGCTCTGGTCCAGGGGGTCACGGAGAGTCGGACACGCCTAAACAACAATAACAATTATTATTGTTGTTGTTGTTATTTTTTAATTATTATTATTGTTATTACTATTATTATTCTTATTTGTAAGAAGTTATTGTAGCAGAGGCGCTGGGCTGCTCTGATGCTTTCCCTTCTCCCTCCGCTGCTGAAAGGGTCCCAACCAGAAATAGGACGTTACTTTACTTCCCAAATAGGGATGTGGTTGGCGCTGTGGGTTAAACTACAGAGCCTAGGGCTTGCTCATCAGAAGGTCGGTGGTTCGAATCCCCTCGATGGGGTGAGCTCCCGCTGCTCGGTCCCTGCTCCTGTCAACCTAGCAGTTTGAAAGCACGTCAAAGTGCAAGTAGATAAACAGGTACCGCTCCGGCGGGAAGGTAAACGGCGTTTCTGTGCGCTGCTCTGGTTCGCCAGAAGCGGATTAGTCATGCGGGCCACGTGACCCGGAAGCTGGACGCCAGCTCCCTTAGCCAATATAGGGAGATGAGCGCCACAACCGCAGAGTCGGTCACGACTGGACCTAATGGTCAGGGGTCCCTTTACCTTTACCTTACTTCCCAAATAGTATCCGTTCCGTTTTGCAGCAAGTAAGAGGAGGGAGCGGCACGTGTGATCCCGGTTTAAATCTGTGCAGTCGTCTTTCATAACGAGCAAAATAGCTGGCGAACTTCATGCCCGTGTTTTGAACCGCTTACAAAGTTGCGAAACAAAATCAAGCGTTTGACGACTTTGGAGATGAATTAAGTTTGGAGGAAATGAACAGCCATGACATGGGAGATATCCTTCACTCTGCAAACGCCTGCATTGATATTGCATGTCGCAGATGACATGAGAAAAGCATTGATAAGCAGCATAGTTAAATCTAATTTTTTTTAAAAGTATTTCATTATTGATGAATCACCAGCTGTAACAGAACAACTTCGGTTATTATTGTCTGCATAGTTCTTCCCAAGCTTTTGGCCCCAGTAAGCCCTTTCCCAGATTTGATTGAGTTACAAGATACAACAGCTAGAGGAATTTTCAGCTCATTGGTTTTTGATAATTTTTTATTAACTTTCTTTTCTGTTTTAACAAACATATCATATCAATAACATACCTGTTACAAATCTTCATCCCTTTTCCTCCCGGACTTCCCCCAGCTCCCATTTCTGGTTTCTTACCCCCTTATCATATACCCATAGCTGTCAACTTTTCCCTTTTCTTGTGAGGAATCCTATTCGGAATAAGGGAATTTCCCTTAAAAAAGGGAAAACGTTGACAGCTATGCATATACTACTGTTTCAACCAGTCCACGATATTGTGTCTTCTTTGTTTTAAATGTTCTATATATTAAAAAAGTGTGTATGTTTATTTAAATCCTGCCATCAAGTCAATGTTCTTTTTTTGTTTCTGCAAATATAAAAGGTTCCCACTCTTTTTCAAAGTCACTGTTGCCGTTTTCTCGTAGTCTATCTATCAAATTTGCCATTTCTGCGAAGTTCATCAATTTCTCTTGCCATTCTTCTTTTGCTGGAATTTCTCCAGTCTTCCAGTTTTGTGCTACCAAAATTCTCGCCGCCGTAGTAGCATACATGAATCATGTCCTCTTCTCTTTTGGCAGATCCTGACCTAAAATACCTAACAGGAAATCTCCTGGTTGTTTAACAAATATTATTTTCAACATTTTTTTTCAATTCATTGTATATCATTTCCCAATATGTTTTTACATTTTTACAATCCCACCACATATGGTAAAAAGTACCTTCAGCTTCACACCTCCAACACTTCTTCTTTTCATTTTTGTACATTTTGCTAATTTGACCGGGGATACATACCATCTATATATCATCTTCATATAATTCTCTCTCAGGTTTTTTTGGGGGGGGTTCCATTGGTCTGTTTTTCTCTTTTTTTATGATGTACAGTGGTATCTCAGGTTAAGTACTTAATTTGTTCTGGAGGTCTGTACTTAACCTGAAACTGTCCTTAACCTGAAGCACCACTTTAGCTAATGGGGCCTCCTGCTGCTGCCGCACCACTGGAGCACAATTTCTGTTCTCATCCTGAAGCAAAGTTCTTAACCCGAGGTACTATTTCTGGGTTAGCGGAGTCTGTAACCTGAAGCGTATGTAACCCGAGGTACCACTGTAACACAGTATACAAAGAACATAAGAACATAAAAAGAGGCGATCAATTAATTAATATACATCTTAAATTTAAGGTAAAGGGACCCCTGACCATTAGGTCTAGTCGTGACCGACTCTGGGGTTGCGCCGCTCATCTCGCTTTATTGGCCAAGGGAGCCGTCGTGCAGCTTCCATGTCAAGTGGCCAGCATGACTAAGCAGCTTCTGGCGAACCAGAGCAGCACACGGAAACACCGTTTGCCTTCCCGCCGGAGCGGTACCTATTTATCTACTTGCACTTTGACGTGCTTTCGAACTGCTAGGTTGGCAGGAGCAGGGACCGAGCAACGGGAGCTCACCCCATCGAGGGGATTCGATCCATCGACCTTCTGATCGGCAAGTCCTAGGCTCTGTGGTTTAACCCACAGCATGGCAGTCCACGGATAAAATTAAGAGTGGTTAATATTATCCAGGGCCAACTGTTACCACTGGTCTTATAAAGGACCTGTGAGCGGGCTAGGAGGCCTCTTTAATGCTTGTTCTTTTACAGAAAGAAAAGAATCAGACTTCAGAGGAGAGACCTTTACACTGTTTGAAAAGCCTAGAGATTGCGCTGTCAAAGCGTTTGGCAGCTGCTTGCCCTCAGGCTGTGTACAGTGGACGCTCGGGTTGCAAACATGATCCATGCGGGAGACATGTTCGCAACCCACAGCGCTGCACATGTGCAGGTCACAATTCGGCGCTTATGTGCAAAGCGCGATTTAGCGCTTCTTTGCATGCATGAGCGCCAAAACCTGGAAGTAACCCGTCCCGGTACTTCCGGGTTTGGCGCGGTGCGCAACCCGAAAACACACCACCTGAAGTGTCTGTAACCCGAGGTATGACTGTACTAGGAACCTGACGGGAACGAGGTCACCTCTCCGGCCGGGAAGGATGGAAAACTAGAAACATGGGGCAATCTTAAAGTGAATTGCAGGTGGAAGGTAGGAGGCACCTTGTGGCTGGCATCTGT